TATATCAAAACAAACTCAAGCAACTCAACACAACTAACGCAACCGACCAACAGGATTGCATCGAAAACGCGTTAAGCGTGCTGTGTGGTGAGCAGAGGTACGGTGCTTGAAATCCCGAAAAAAGTGGTTTAGCGATTTAAACGCAAATATCTGCCAACTTTATGCCATTAATTTCTCTGCTATTCACATGCTTCATTATATAAGGAACGTCACGGGCAGTACTTATACAGCTCCAGTGTAGTGTCTTCCCCTCATGACACAGTAGAATTTCCGACAATAAGTCGTTTTAGCTAGTTTAGCATCGTTTTTTTGAAGGACTTGTTATTGTTTTTGATGAAATTGCACTGTTTGTCGTCGTCTCTTCCAGTGGCTCACAACTCTTTATCGGGGAATGGAGAAGGGAGTAATATCGTTTTACACAAAGAAAGTGGTACCAGTCACGCCTTTTAAAGAAATTTCAAGATGTCTCTTGAGATTTCAACAAAAAAATTCATTTACTAAGTGCTTAAAATTTTTGAAAAAAGATGCAAAGTTAACATTTGATTTACTTGTTTATTTCAGAAACAAATCATTACAAAATTCTAGACTCATACACGTTGTAGTGTAAGGGTGCCTTCATACCGCGTCGGCAGCCGCCGCTAGCAGCCCGTAGCAGCCGCTGGCAGCCCGTAGCAGCCGCCAGCAGCCCGTAGCAGCTCGTAGCAGCCCGTAGCAGACGCAGCAGCCGCCAGCAGCCCGTAGCCGCCGCTGGCCGCGTTTGTCATAGAAGCGCAAAATCATCAAATTTTTACTATCTCAAGTGCAATCGACCACGCTTTCCGTCTTCCGCGCTTTCTTCTTCCTGTTGTCACAATTCGATCTCATATATATGATATTTGCGTCCATTATCGTTATTATCTTGTTGCCGTACATTGGTTATCTCATTGGGCTCAGTTTAAACCATATTTCGACTTTGTATGCGTCTAATTTCTGCAATGTTATTTTTTATGCGTGGTTCTGTTTCAATCATATCCTTAGTCGGTGCTTATCTTGAATAACTTTGTAATGGCGAGAGTGGAACTGCACATTAGCCGCAACGAGAAGAAAGAAGCGTGAGAGATGGGCGGGGGCACTCAAATTGGTAAAAATTTGATGATTTTGGCTTCTATGACAAAAGCGGCCAGCGGCGGCTACGGGCTGCTGGCGGCTGCTGTGGGCTGCCGTACGCGCATCGTGCAGGGACCATGCTACGCATAGAATCGCGGACCTTGTTTTTATCATTGTATCTTGGTTTCTCGTTTTTGTAACAGTGGATTGTAATTTTTCTCTGCTTTTGCTCATATGCGATCTGCCTTGATACGGATACGATTTTTTTCGCAGCAAAGGAAAGAGGTATCAAATCTTTTAACGTTTTTCCTCATGACATCTTTCATTTCATCCAGGCTTCTTCGGATGGCTGATTCCGGATGTCATGATTCATTATGTCGACTCGCGTTTCAATGGACATAATCTTATATCGTTTAGGTATGAGTGAACAGCGCCAGCGTGCTGTTCACTCAAAGTGTTCTCTCAACCTACACGATATACAATTACATCTTACGATATTCACTTTCAGCTGCAAGGAGGAAGAACAGTCATTCTCAGAATTTTCAAATAAAATGATTAGATTACTTTCTCTCTGAAAGACCTCAAACCTCCATCTCGTCTTCCATTTGCGCGCTGGTACTTTGAGAGATCTCAGAAAATACTGAAGTAGAGTTTCAGACAGGAAGCTCAGAAATTTGAAAGCAGGACAGAGAATAAGCTAAGAAAGAAGCAGGACGCCAATTTGCGCGGCATGGTCCTTGTACGCTGCGGCTACTAGCGCTCGCGCAGAGATGTGTGACTGCACTACGCGGCGCTGACCCCGTTAAACGCATTGTACACTGTGCCTTGTTCCTTCCATGCCTTTTCGGATAAACTCTATTTTAGATATCAGAGCTTACATAGGCATCGGAGGAAAAAAGAAAACTGATCACGCTTACTGCATGACGAAAGATTTTATTGGAAGAGTCTATGCTTGAAGAAGCTCCAATAACACTGGCCGAGGGACTCTTATGGGAATAATACATATAGTGTAGAGTTCTTTTATTTACTCGGATCTTCCGAAGTGGATAAGATTGTTGAATCAATTCTTCCTCTCACTTGGCCATTACATGAGCTTGACATTGTAGCCTTTCTAGATTTTTCAATCTAACGATTTTTGTTGCAGATTTTGCTCGTTTTCGTTTCATTCTTCTAACATCTCGCTTCCTCCGATAAAAATGCTCCAGAGGAGCGAGGTTCAAAAACGAACGTTTTCTTGTGCCGTTTGTTGCGTAAAAGCTATTTTTTGCAAATATAGGCTAGTGTCGGACGAAGACGCAAAACCTAAGGGCACGAGCCGTTTTATTAGCCATAGAAAGCTTAAAGGCAGTGTCCGGGCAAAAACTCGATTTTGAGATTTTGTGCTTGTAAAGGCCTATTCGCCATGCTGAATTCGAAAATCCACATTGGAAAGCGCGAAAACGGCGAAAAAGGGCTCTAACACAGGAGGGGAATCAGCAGGTGGGCGGGGCTTGCCCCAGTGCGATTTCACGCTCCCAGCTAACGGAGCGATTTTCTCGATTCCGCTAGCCGTCCTGACATCGCTACCGGCCAAGTGCGAATGATTGACTTGAAACCGGAAGCGAGAAGGTCGCTCCGGAAGCCGGGAACGTGAATTCGCAGTGGGGAGGACCCCGCCCACCTGCTCATTTCCCTCCTGTGTTAGAACCGTTTTTCGTGCATTTTCGGATTCAGCGTAGCGAATTGGCCCAAGTAAGCACAAAATCTCAAAATCGAGTTTTTGCCCGGACACTGCCTTTAAGGCGCAGTGTCTACAACGGTGAAGATACAGTCCGTGTCAATCTTGTGCTACCTTCCACCAGCCACCAGATCGCAACCTCAAAGCTCCTCTCTGCGTTCGCGCGCGTACTTGCGCATTTGAAACCCACCTATATTTCAGGAAGTCACCTTCCTCATTTTATCCATGGTCTTGAAACCGGGCTGATTCCTTCATCACAATAACATTGATCACATATTTTTCCTCGTTTTTCCATACGTTTGCGTTTGGGGCTTCAGTCTCAATCCTTTTCGCAACTCATACTGTTCACTCATTTGATTTCTTGAAAACTGTTCCCCCTTTCGGAGAGGAAGGAAATTGGACTTTACTTGAAGTTATGTACAAGAGCGAAAGTCGTTACCATCTTGAGATAGCTTTGATGACATAAAAGGAATAGTATTCATTTTCTAAACTGCCCCAAGATTGGAAATTTTCTCGTCAGAAGGGGAAGCGAGGTTCGAGAACGAGACGAAAAAGAGCAAAATTTACAATGATGAAAACGGTCAATTTCCTATTTACTATTGAGATTAGCTGTGCCGGAACTTCCTGATCAGCGCGAAGTGAGAAGTATTAGCAACAAGTGTAGGCTGAAGAAAGTACGTTGATATCTTTAGCTTCTGACCTTCTGAGCTACTCATGTTCAACTTTTTCGATTCGCTGATAGCAACCATGCTTTCGCAAAAGACGGATGCTATCCTTGGACCTGTTTGCTGTATTGGTGGATTTTGAAAAGACTCTAGATGAAGCATTTTCTTTACAAAACAAGAACATTCAAAGAAAAAATTTCATACCCGCAGAGATAATTTCTCAAACGGTACCTACAAGTCTTTATTATATAGCGTGATGGGAGGCTTGGATATTGTGAAACAAATGAAAATGACTTTGCCACAAAAATGTCTCAAATGGAGATCGAAGTTTTAGGATAGACAAGGCTCAAGCTTCATAAGTGCAGGACTGCATGTACCATATGTTACTATACACCCTATCTCTCCTTCCTTAGTCAAAAGTAGATCTCAAAGAGATCATACACGGTTACTCTGATCTTTGAAAAACAAAACTCAAACTTCAATGACGCCGTAGCGTCCTGTGTCCTTGGCAATGTTTACCATTTATTGTATGATCCCTATTCTAGCAACGTATTTTTCTGTTTGTGCATCTCTGATCATCCAGTTTTGTTTACTAACCTTGCAAAATCCTTCACTGATATTCTGCTGCAGGTGGACTGATCTAAAAACAAATTTAGAAATAAGAGTGGGAAAAGTGAATTTAAGCTTAGATATTAGGTTGAACCGAAAGTTCTGCCGCTTTGATTTTGAAAAATTCGTAACTGCTCCCTATATGGACGTATCTACCTACAAAAAATATACCCACGTGGAAACGTTCATCTACTTTCTAAAAACGACCTTGCTGCTCTTTGACGACAGGGGACTTAGGGGAACCATTCAAACTCCCGATTTTCAAAAATAAATTGTCCGAAATCTGTAACGCTGCAGAAGAATCTGAAGGCATGTTTCTCGAAGGTTTTGTGAGATTTTGTGAGATACTCTTTCAACAGCGATAAATTTATGCTGATCGAGCTCTTCTATACTATGTTACGATTTTCGTAAAAAATGCAAAAAATGGCAAAAATGAGGATTTTTGCATTTTTGCAATTTTCACGAAAACCATAACTTTGCACAGAAAAGCTTGATCAGCGCAAATTGGCACTGTTAGAATGAGCAGCTCACAAAACCTACAAGAAACATGATTTCAAATTTTTCTGCAGCGTTTCAGATTTTTAATATTCATTTTCGATCGGGAGTTTGAGTGCCTCTCATTTTCGAATTTTTATCTGAAAGTTTCCTGTACTCAAAAAGAGATAGAAGATGCTACTAAGAAGTAGACAAATTTGTTTTTCTTTGTAATGATGTTTTGTAAGCAAGTACGCTCACATAGGGAGCAGTCACGAATTTTTCAAAATCGAGGCAACAGACTTTTGGTTCAACCTAATATGTAATTTCTCTTTGAAATTCCTAAGGATGACTCCTTTTCTCCTATTCTCCCTACAAACTTCCCCTTGGGAGGGATGTGGCCCCTTAAAAATCAATGAAGGCGAGATTTTGCACAACTTGAATATATGATGTTGAGTCCCATCAGCAAAGCTAATACTTTCTTGACACTGAAGCTGTTGAGGACAGAGAAGTCAACTGCAGGATTTCGTAAAAATATGAATCAAAATCCTCCTAAAAGTGCAATGGCCACTGGTGAGTCATTTTGTTGGCAAGCCGAATCTTTCGTTTCTCAAATGGTCCTTGTCTCCTACCCCTGACCCTATCTTGCCCCTTTTAAATGCCCTTTGTGTAAAGCATTTGTCAAAAGCTTTTTGCCAAACATCACTGTATTGTTTGTTTCTTGCATGATAATCTTGCTGTGTTTATTCGCCAACTTACATTCCAACCGGTTTTGATAGCATGGCAGATGACATCATCTAGTCATGCGTTTCCTACTCTCGATGTTTTGCTATGTTCTGAGGTCTGACAATGACCTTTACCACGTTTTAAGGCAAGGGAATTGTCCCATCACCAACCAGTGAACTACTTCAACTACTCCTCAAAGAAACTACGATGCAAGTGCTTCGATTGCTAATTCTGATCACTTTGACCGTTCTGGTCAACGCTGCTCCATGGGTACCAATCGAATACGACTCAAATAGGGTGAGTTCTTACAAACTTCTCTGAAATATACCTGCAAAAACGAACAGAGTCATCTGAACCGTTTTCTGTGGGTTACATAGTCCAGAAAGCAATAAAGTCGAGAGCAATTTTTTTATTTTTGCTCACTAAAGCTGCATCTGCACTATTTTAGCTAATGAGATCACCCGAAGTGGATCGAGATGAGTTTGTGGGCACACAATTTATGCCAATGGGTAGCCAGATCAGGTTTAAACGGCAGGTTAGTACGGTCCAGATTTGTTGTTGATTCAAACGTCACATCAAAGCAAAAAAAGGAAGAGAATAGGTATTTCATCTAAATAAAAACATAAACGTTTAGTCTAAAATAAGGCTCAATCACTAAAAAATTATAGCGACAATAACTTACAGTGCATGAAAAAAAATGAATATTTTCTATTCCGTCTGCGATTGTCGATTTGTGCCGTAGCATTTGAGCCACTCAGAAATTGCTCAAAGCTGCTTATTTTGAGAACGTAATGATTTTTGAAATCACGGGAAATAAAAAGTGTGATCGTCAACGTAGCATCCTTTGTCATATTTTTTTAAGATTTACTTATAATTGCTCATCTTTTTCGATTTTCAGTACGGCTACTATGGTGCTCCTGCCTATCCGGGCTACTATAACCCTCTTGGAACTGGTTCCGCCTGGGCCGCTGGTGGTGGAGTCGTCGGCAATACGCTATCATTTCTAGTCGGAAAATAAAACCTAGCTCCCTAATCGGGCGTATTCCTCAGGGTTCCCGAATTTCCACCTTTGTCCACATGTGTACATCATCTGGGATCTCTTCTACATTGTTCAAATGCTGTCTAATTGTATATACCTTTGCCGCTTTGTAATCATATACAACGAAATGTTATCTGTAAATACTTGTAAATAAAAGTTTATCATGAGCTCTCGTACACCTACACGAATTTCACATTAAGCACGGGTTTTCACTAGTAACTTGATAAAATAGCCTTTTGCAAAACTTCTAGAATATAGCAACTCTTGGGTGAAGCAACGGCTAGAGTAAGGAATTGAGTAACAAACCGTAGCCTGTCCCTGAGGCAGGTGCTATACTCCTTCAGGAGTAAAGCATGGCGACGATCGATGTGCATCAAATACGTGTAAAACCAGCGATTTTTGTCGCCGATATTGGCGATCGCCAGTCGCTACGACTGGCGATCGCCCGCCGCCATGCTATACTCCTCGAGGAGTATAGCACCTGACTTAAACTAATGTAGCCGAGAAAAGAAACACAAAAGAACAGGGTTATGCAGATTTGTAAAATCCATCAGCATTGCGTTTTGACTTGGCTAAAACCTATTGTTTGTTAATCGGAATTTTATGACTACCTCTCAAAGATGTCTGCTTTGTTTGCAAAAGAAAGAGCGCAAATCTTGAAAGTTCCCACTATCTGATGTCTCATACATCGCTGATTTTGATTTCAAACAAAGGAGCAGGTAGGCCCTGACTTCCTTGAGACATTGTCTAAGCAGATCATATAATAACATGACTGAGAAATACAGGTCCTCCGAATTTGCAAAACAGTATCCTTCAAAAGCAACGAATTGAAGCCGTCAGGACATTACTGAGAGAGATTTTGAAGTTGATATCAAGGATGATTTTTACGAATTTACAAAAGACAAAGTCAGCTGGTGATATTAGGTTGTCCCGAAAGTTTTGTCGGTTTCTTTCACCGATCACTGAAACTCACAGAACACGAATCCATGGGCAAGCTGGGTACCATTTAATTCAGATTTTTATCCTCTTTCATACAGCTATAATTTCTTTCTGATCTACCCTGTCTTTGCAATGTTATCGCCATGGCTTTTTGAGCAGCTCAGCGGTAACGCCAAATCTTTCCTGAATTTCAAAATTTTTTATCCTGATGTTTTCAAAGAGGGCTCGTAACTGTTATGTAGAGCAAACCTTTGGCTACATTTTGTTCATTTTAGATTACATGGGCCACATTTACCAAGTTCGTTATAATATTATTTAATAAAAACCGCGACTTTTTGACTAAGTTTACCACGTAAAAAATACCGAAAATTCTAAAAAGCTGCTTTTTCAAAGCAAATCAAACTTGGTCATGTTGCGTAAATAATGCTTAGTAAGAATCATTCTTCAATTCACAGAAACTCTGAGAACTTCCGTGTATTTGCTGCAGTTGCGTGTTTCATGACTTTGCCAAAAATCGAGACCTCTTAAAAAATAATTTTTTTTCGAGCTAAAAACAGCAGAATAGGAGAATCTAAAAGTACAACCTTGTAGTCCGAGAATTGCTCTATTAAAATCATACTCAATCATTTTGGAAACTTTAGAAGGAAATTTCAAAAATTAGCAGAACTTTGAGCAGATAAAATTGGCGGATGGAGATTTTTAACAGATATCGAAAAAAGCATACAAGATTGTGGCCCTTGAATGTATCCATAAGAAAGAGAAGAAAAAGCTGCATCGAATGCATGTTAAAACTCATTCTGATGTTTATTGCGCGTGGTTTTATAGTGGTTTGAAGAAACCGACAAAACTTTCGGGACATCCTAATATGACGAAGAGAAGGAGCACAGATTTTACTGAGAGCGTTTCTAGGGAGAAGGCTGTAACTGATATTATTTCAAAGCTAGAATCTTAAACATCTAACTTTCCTTGACGATGAATGACTGCCAAAAAGAAAAAGCACTCACAAAAAAGTTCTCGGTCACTAAGGCTTTCGTGCATGAGATGTATATGATAATATTCATTTTGAAACACTGATTGCAAGTCTATGTCAGCTCTAAACAAAGCGACTTTCTGGAAAAAGGGACGAACATATTTCAATGGCAATGTGGCCCTATTGCAAGGGGTCGAAAGAACGTTTCGAAAATTTTTTGGCCAAATAAATTCAGCATTCAGTTTGAATGCAGTAATACTCAACACTTAGTAAGCGAAGCTGCTTTCTGATATGGGCAGGTTGGCTAGCATCAGGTATTTTTGAACATCTAGTACCAAGCGATTCCCTGAAAAACGTTCGTTTCACAACTTCTTCCAGAAGACAACTTTGCAAATAGGAAACTTCTCAAAAGTAGCGGCCCAAGACAAGAAATTTTATTTGCGTCTTTTCATATGAAATACTCCTAAGAAACTAAGTACTTTCCTGCTTGAACCAAGTATCGAAGTCCAACCATGATTTATGGCCATACCCTGATTTTTCGATTATGAGACTACTTTTCTCATTTTTTTCGAGCAAGCAGCGCGGCTGCACCACTGTGCCTTGCGCTTTTCCACACAGGTCTTTCCGGAGAGGAGGAGCACGGTGGAGGAATCCTCTGGTTTTTTGATGTGTTCAGGCTGGTCATGTTCAAAATGAAAAATTGTGACTACTGTACTGTACTCGTGAAATTAGGGTAATTCGTGTTTGCTGCCAAATTGAAATTTTCTGCTAGCGTTTACCATAGCGTATACGGTTCTCCGAATTTGTTTTGCGTATGTAGGGTATGTTTGTTAGCTATCAAATTGGGCGCCTGACATACAAAGGTGCATGACCACTGCAAGGTATTTCCTAGATGTTTTGCTCAAAGAAGATTGGCTTCTCAACAAAAACTATCGCCTTTGCATGCACAATTTTCCTTACTACGTGAGCTATAAAACCTTTAGACACATTACTACCTTTAAAGGTAAAGTTTGTAAAAATTTATGCAAAATATATTCACTTTTTTGAACTTCGACACTGATTTAGTAAAAACACAGTAGTCCCTCACAATATTACAATGTCATAAACCTGTGACAATCTATGATTACAGTCGCAGTAAAGTTTAAAATACAGTAGAACTCGACTTGTCCTTGAATCAGATGTAAAAAATCAGAAAAAGCTCTTTGTTTTCCAGATGAGCAATCTTCTACCATCACTCCTCCTCAAGAGTTACAATTTGTTATTTCATTTTGGGAAAGAGGGCGATAAAAAAATTCGAAAGAAAAATGTCGTTCAAGACGCGTTTCGAAAGCTTTCTTGAAAGTGCATCCCCCCCCCTTGCCGTTCCGAAAAGGGTCGGAAAATTCACTGATTTTGGTATTCGTGAGTTTTGAAGTCGTGGGTAACTTGTTTTTGTGAGACTACGAATATTACGAATATCTAATTTTGGTACGCAGAATTTTGCGAACTGGCTTCCCTTTCTTCTCTCAAAATTCGAAGGGTAATTTGATATCTTAACCTCTTAATTTTGGAACGCATTCCAAAAGTTTCTGAAGATTTTTGCTGCCCTTTTATTCGAAAAGAGTTATCCGCCCATCTCCTCATTACAAAAAATTTTTGGGCATTCACGATCCCTCCCATCTACAAATCTGCCATTGTAATTTTAGACGCTTGTGCTCAATATTCTGACATTGAAATTCGAGCGATGTTTGTCTTTTATGATGTACGTAATCTGACCGGTTTTTACCTCTTACCAAGCGATCATCACCTTACGCGGCGCTTTTAATAGCTGTTTTGCACTCGGGTCATGGGTTCAACCTTTCCAATGTATTTAAGGCAACTATAGGTGTCATCTGGTTTCTATCACTTTTTACAGAAATTTGGTTTTGAGGTGAATCGCGTGAGTCAGGCAAATATGAGGATACATATATATCGATTAATTCTGCTTTTTATAATGGCAACGCTGGACAGAGACTTATCAGCCCTTGGTAAGTATAAACTTTTAATGAAATATGAAAAACGCTTCATTTTTCTAATCTGTTTTAGCAATGCCAATCAGCGAACTTTTCGGCAAACAAATGCGGCACCATGCTAACGTGGTAAGTTTTTTTAACCCCAAAAATAGAGAAATTCAAGCTGCTTGTATTTCTCTGTAATTCAGTGCAATTTTCTAAATTTCTTGTTTTCCCCATTGGGAAAATTAGCACCAGTGCATGTAAAATAGACAAATCTGGAATCTCAGCCAAATATATAGTGGAATTCTACCTCAATAGCCCAAATGTCAAACGCTCATTGACCCACAAAATCGAATTTCTCTCCAAAGTTCTGCGAAAATCCAAAATGCACATGTATTGTTCTCATTAGACAATCATGATGTGTTGTAGCATTTTTCATGGCCTAAACTCGAAAATGGAAAACTAGCCTGCTCTGACAAAACGATCCTTGTTTTCCCGCGCGGATAATCAAGTACAGAACCTATGAAAATACAAGATCAATAGCTTTCCCTAAGCTCTAGTAGTAGTTTGCGAGAGATATCAAAAGTTGCATAAGAGCGCCAAACAGGCAACATTTTTTAGCCCATTTCTCTTCCCAAGTCTCAGACACGGGGAAGATATAGCACTTTTATGAATGTTTACTGTAAAGATTATATGGAAGAAGCTGTTGGTTTGTAGGAGTTTCTTACAGAGGAAAATTCGATATTCCATGATGTAATAGCTCCGCACTATTCTTTCGGTCTGTGATGTAATCCGATCAAAAAATTGAATTTTTTTTTTGGGAATGTGTTAAGTTGAAATCAAGAGACACCTCGTAATAATCCAGTTACGTATTTGCGGCATTGAAATTTCGATTGCTTATTGATTTTACGTTCAAACTCTCCTTTTTGATTTACAGGTGAAGCGGTCAACAAGAGAAATGGGGGACGTTTTGACAAAGAAAGTCATGACGGCAAATGACCGAAGAAGACTTAAGCGACAGGTAAATCAAGCAATTTCTTGGTGGAGAATTGATTTTAAGAGAAAGCTGACGATTCTGACGCTAGCACCCTAATAAATCAGCTTTACAGAAGCGTCTATAGCTTATTGCTATTAAGATCGCGTTTAGAGTTGATCGCGTGTAGGTACTGTGCCAGCGCCGTGCCGGAACCGCGTACCGGAATTGCGTATGTCAGTCGACCTCGTTGCCTCCGCCATCTAACTCTGGACACAGTTCAAAAAGATTTATAAATACATCTTTCATGCGTTACCGAAAACCGAGGCCGAAAATATCCATAATCACTTTTAATTGAGTACAGCTCATTCCTATTTCAGTAACTATTTTTCGGCCACCTTATATTCGCTACTTCACAATTACATCCACTTTTTGCAGCGCCTAACCTTCTTAGTTCTTCTTTGCGTTATCTAAGTGACGAGAACTCTCCGTAAAAGCAAGGGCAAGATACTCTCAGAAGGGCAATTCTGCAACCTTTGCAAATTGAGAGTACAAAATTCATTGGTATTCTGCAAAGCTTGATCACTGGTCAAGTTGAGATAATTTCTTTTTCGCTGAAGTGAAAGGTCAATGCCACTCAAGGCGTTCATAGCGAACACTGATGTCTTCTTCAAATCCGGACGAAAGGGCACAGAAACTGAAAGAATCCTAAAAATTTGATAGTCACTTTGCTTTTTGTAGAAAACTCATCAAAAGTGATTACATTACGTATTCGGAGCCTTTTGCTAAAATATTCCAAATCAAAATAGCTTGTTAGTTGGATCCTTTCACGTCCAAGTCTTATCCTCTTCATTGAATTTTTTCGAGGAAAGCGTGCCAAAGTCAAATCAAGGAACCTCTTTCTTATCTGGGTACTGACGCAAAGCCCCAAATCCACCCTCAAAGCGGAACTTTATGACGGTTCATTGCCTAGATATATAGTTCACTCAACTTTGTGCCCTTTGGGACGTTGTGTGGCCCAGCCAAAAAGGGTACTAGAGCTGAAGTTAGAAGCCAAATTTCGTTCGCGAGCAAATCGTTTGTGCCGGTTTGTTCAAATTTCCCCTTCGTTCTCTCATGGGAAACTCATATTCGCAGACATGCCTGGACAGCCTCTGATGCTGCATCAAATTCAAGTGAAAGTTCGTTCTAAAAAATTGTTGAATAACTAAAATATACAGGTGGTGTATGAAAGTTAGCTCATGTCTCTTCGAATCAAGATTTATCATTTTCCGCTAATATTACAAATTTTTATATTTAGTACTACCCTACCTATCCTGGTTACTACAATCCAGTGTACTCCGGCTCCTACTACTATCCTGCTTATCCTGGTTTCTACAACCCGGTTGGATCGGGATCTTTATGGGCTGCTGGTGGTGGACTCGTTGGAAATACATTGTCATTCCTTCTTGGAAAATGAGTTCTCTATTTTTCCGAGATATCTTCAAAGCACATTCCTCTTGTTTTTATTCTGTGGAATCTCTCTACTATTTTGTTTACTTTTTTGGCTCAAATTATTTCCTTCATATTTTTAAGAGAGCATTGTTTTCTTGGTACAGATTTTTCTTGCACAAGACCTTATTTGCCTGCTCATCTTTACAATTAAATCTTCGCGGACGCATGTAGTAAATCAGGTCTAATAAATTTATCAAAATATACAATGATGTATCTTTATTGCATGTACAATGACTGTGATCGCTGTTCGCTCAGGTCATCTAAAACGTCAATCAACAAATGACATCAATCCAAAAAGCACAATTTGTATGAGCTAAATAACGGAAACAAATAATATTTTTTCAAGAATTTTATTTGTTTCATGTATGCAGATTCAATTGTAAAAAATACTAAAAGAGATGAGTCGATCGTTTGTGCGGACTCTGGAGCATATATCCGCGGATAAGATATGTGTTAGTATTCAACTCAAAAGCTGAGAGAGTTCTCGCCTTAAGGGCCGGGCATACTTCACGCGATTGCAGTCGCGACGCGATTTGGCAATATTCCAACTGTTCATAACTCACTGTAAACACCTTTCAAATGTACAGAAGATTGGGCATTTTATCAAGCCATGTAAGTTATACACACTATGCATGTGCAGTTTGCTAGTGTTGAAGAATTCTGGCGAATTGCCAAATTGCGTCGCGACTGAAATCGCCTAAAGTATGCCCGGCCCCTTAGAGTTGTTTGCTTTGAATGAGTGCTTGAAAAGTTAAAAAACAAACAAGCCATTACCACGTATAGCTCATATCTTCCGAACTCTCGCCCAGAACCTAATTTCTTACCGTAGTCCGTAAGGCTTGTCAACTCGGGAAGAGTACAATCAGAACTGCAGTTCAGGAAAGCCTAGGTAAACTAGAAGATTGCAGTGTCTTGAGATCGACTAATCAATATTATAGATATAGTAAAAAGCACGGTCTGGGAGATAGTTTTAAGTTGAATTTGTCCATGGATGTCCAAACAAGGCTAGAACAATAGCTCAAGGTTACCTTCTAAACATTCTCCACATTGGAAACTTCGAAACTCAACTTTGACTTCATCTCCTTGTCTGAACTGCGCACGAAGGATAACGACGTTGTACAGGGAACGACAAATGTAAAAATAAAAAAGAGTAAAAACCACAAAGAGGAAATAAGAAAATCTACTTGCAAAAATTCATTATGGCGTAATGCTAGTTGTCCATTCAGTAAAAGATCTTTGTGCTTCTTTGACTACATTGTGGAAATTTGTGTTTCCTAAGAAGTATTGGTCCAAAATTTGCTCTAGCATTTTAATTGTGAGGTATAACTTCGTTTGCACATCACGCAATGCCAAGCGAAATGCTCGTCCTCTCGAATCAAGGTATGGCCTTGTCCTTTTTGCCGTTTCGACAAAAATTCTTGTGATATTTGTTTTTTACGATTCGCGTAGTCTGACCGGTTATGGGTCTTTACCACGAGGGTGATCATCACCTTACGCGAGAGGTTAAATGTTTTGCTGTCTGTTGGGCCAACACCTTAACCTCACCAGAGTGTATATAAAGCAAAGAAAACTGACCTAGTTTTATTTCTGCTGTTTACAGAAGATCCAGAGTCAGAATGCTGATACTTCGAGTGCTTTTCCTGATTGTTTCTGTATATTCTGCTAGTATAGGACCATGTAAGTTTTCTTATTATTAGTAAAATTTATCCCTGGCGAATTTTATGTTTGTAGCCAAAATGTCGCCTGAAAGTCATACAATGCAGCAAAAAAGGCGCTCAGGAAAGGTTAGTTAGCTTTTCACTTCGTGGATGTATTCAAAACATTTTTCTCCTTTATGCTTTCGCTTAGTCTGGTCAATCTGATAGATATTGCGAGCTTGAAAATGAGGCGAGAGTAGTTCAAAGTTTTTTTATGTATTGCATAATTAGATGCACTGATAACTGGGCCAGGAGCAAAACTTATCAAGCTTCTTCAGCTTTGTTTCTTTGAGTTTAGAATTTCCATTTGACCCGTAGCTAAGTTTTTCGTAAGGAAAGTATCATAAAGATTTTCGTAAAGTGTGAAAATTGGCAAACATAAAAAGTTAAAGAAGAGTATGTGTTTTCTTGCGAAGAAGGTGTGAGGTGAAGGTGAACTGTGCACAGCATTGGTAGCAGCATCAGGCAATTGCTATATCTACTCCTGACTAGCATTTGGAGTGGGGAGGGGGGGGGGAGTAAAAGACGTGAATAAGGAGAATTTTTGAAAAGGTTTAAGTGGGCTTCAGTCACCCATATATTTGTTTATTTGTGGAGGTTTTAATGGGACGTGTTTCAACTCGCAGAATGCGATAGGCAGCTATTTAAAATGATATCAAGTTTCGTCAATCTTTCAGCTATTTTCTCTTAAGTAAATGTGAAACTTCACACATCGTTCCTTCGATAGGTCTCGGGCATGTCCCACTTGATTTCAGTCGCTACGCTATCTGGCAGTATTCCGCTTGTTCACAACCCACCGTAAGTGCATTTTGAACATATAGAATATAAAGCATCTAATCAACTTACAAAGCTACTTTTAGCTTGTCTCAAAAGTTTTTTCAATCGTGACTTTTTACCGCAATGAGTTACACAATTTTCAGTTTTGATTAAGATGCAGAATACCTTTCGATAGAGCAAGGCAAGCTCTATAAGACGGCATGTAAGTGTTGGCACCAGATTCAGCACATCACGAGCTAGAAGCTGACATTTGAAAACTTTTGAATGCCCAAAAACTTGAAAATTCTCCATAAATTTGTCCAAAAAAACTTATCTCCAAAATTTGCTCACACATATGCATTCCACACAACACAATCATATGTGCCGTTGCTGTGTTTGTTTCTGTGCTAGCAACCGAGGAAACTAAAATTCTAAAACTTTCAAAAAAGCGATGCTGCGTTGTTTTCACAGAGGTAAATGTATTCTAATGGCCTGTAGTAATACATCGATGAATTTTCAGCTTTCTAGAAGCGCTAGTTCTTGAGAAACATCGAATTTAGCTTTTTTGCTTATGTAATTCATGTTGAAATCAATATTTCTCGGGAACTATAGCTCATAGAAAGCTGGAAATCTGACTGTACTTCTAAAGGCCTGTAGTATACATTTGCCTGCGCGAAAAAAGCGCAGCGTCGCTTTTTTGAAAGCTTGCAAATTTTGGTTTTCTCGGATTCTAGCACAGAAACAAACACAGGAACGGCCATATGAATGTAAGTGTGGAGTGTATATGCGTGAGCGAGTTTGGAATCTGGTAAGTTTTCTGAGTAGAAAGTTATAGAAAATTTTCAATTCTTTGGGCATGCAAAAGTTCTCAAATGTCGGTTTCTAACTTGTGGTGAGCTGAAGCTGGTGCGAACTCTTACATGCCATCTTGTAGAGCTTGCTTTGCTCTTCAGGATTGAGAATTGTGTGACTTATTGCTCTGAAAGCCAAAATTGAAAAAACTCACGAGACAACCTAATACCTACAATTTGTCTGCTAGTTTGGTTTGGAACTTTCGGCAATTTATCATCGCGTGGCTACTGAAATTGTTTGAAGTATACCCGGGGCCTTTTGAACTGAATTCGGCAACGCATGCAAAACCTTTACTTGCACTTTTATAAGAAAACTTTTCTAAAGCGATCGCGTTTCGTATTTGATCTGAACGCGCCTCGGTGAACCTCACTTACACGCAATCTTGTTGCCGTTATTTATGTCATTATCGATTCTCAAATTATTTGACGTGGTGTGCTCTCATTTGCTTTACTGAATAGTGTTTACAGCTTTAAATCTGCGTTTTCAAATCCTTCTAAAAGACTCTTATGAACGGTTTAAAATTTGTAAGTTGAACAAAGGAAAAGATGGGTTTGGGACTTTTACAGAAATCTGAGCAATTTCAGAGAGACGTATTAGTGCCTAGTCCTACAGCGGTTTGTGAGACCTTTGAAACATGAATTTTTGCTGATAAATTTTCGAACTTCTTCATTTGGGGAGAAACTACTTGAATCAACAAGTTTTGATATTCTATCAAAACTGATAATTAAAATCAAACCCTCCGCTTATCAGATTGAAAACTATAGAAAACTGTAGACGAGTACTCTAAACAATTATGATGTACTTTCTTCCCTTCATAACAGTAACCTTCATAGCAGTAATGTTACAGAACTAATTTCATGATTGCTTTGATCCCAAAAAGGTTGAAGCTGTTGCGCCTTGTGTAATAACTATGACTATAGCTAACTTAAAACTTCCATCTCAAAAGTGCCGAAAATTCGACCATTGAAAATAGAGCAAACTTCTTTTGCAGTTTTCTCTAGGTTCTTCATAAATATCTTTCAGAGCCTTACAGATTATTTTCCTTAAAGCACTCAGTCTTGAAAGTGACCAACACAAAAATGCATATTTTTGCGCTGAGCGGTTTTTCCCTATAGTAACCTAGAGAAAGAATTGACACTCAATTTCCACGTACTCTCTTCTTTAAACCTGAGCATGATGTATCGAATATTGTATAGTTGTATTGTATCGAATATTGTATAGTGTTGTTCTGCCAACCAGGTTTTGCGGTGCATCTTTATTGTTGACCTTACGTTTCGACAATTACCGTCTTCTTCAGAGGTCTGAAAGGGGTTTTAAATGTGTCGATTATTATAAAGTTTTTATAATTATCGAGTGTCAATTAGTATAAAAACTTTATAATAATTGACACTCAATTATTATAAAGTTCTGGAAATCAAAGTGACATAGCGTTTTATCCCTTAAGAATATCACGCTTCGAAATTTTGGGACAAGCTATATGCGCTTTGCTGCTATTATACCAGCAGTTGTAAGATGACTTACTTGGAAATCATAGCTGCGAACGACTAGGGAAACTATTAGGTTGGAAACTAAGTTTTGCAACTGGTTTCATAACTTCACTCTCTTTGAATATGGCGCATCCAAACTTTGACATTATGTAGAAGGCAATGTGAGCTACAAGTGAGCACGAATTGTCAGAATTTTGAATACGAAATAGAAAAGTTTAAGGCGTTTTTCGAAAACTAGTGAAATTTGAGAAATTCTTGGGGTTTCAAGCTAAAATGAAGCCTTCGGCAGCCTACATCATGCGCAGTAATCCGGATTCGTCTATGAATTATTGCTGGAGACTGACTCCCTTGGTCTATTAAGAAAGAAACAAAATTTAGGGGCATGTCGAAATTTGGCGTCCTCATAAAGTCGAACGAATCAATGTACGCAAGAGCTGCTGGGGACGACCGTCAATGACTAAAGAGTCCGAAGCTCAAATTCCGCCGAGACTTTACATAGTAAAGTTATTTGACCTGCCAAACGCGAATATCACATTCATTTGTTGAATCAACGCCTTTTTCCTTGTTTAGGGTGAGACCCCATGTCGTACACCTACAGTAATCCTACAAAAAGCCCTTATCACGCAATTTCGCTATTGTTTTCGTGATCAGCATTTCGGATAACACCCCTATGTCAAGTTTCAGCCAAATCCGTTAAACTTTCAATTTTTCACCTTCATACCATGCACCTACCGTAACCCTCACTGCGACGTCAGAATTTGGTAGGACAGCCGCTGCACTTGTAGCTTACGTAATAACCAACACAGTGGCAAAATTTGAGTACGCCATGTTGAGTGAGAGGGAAGTTATGAGACCAGTTGCAAAACTTAGTTTCCAACCTAATATATTGGGTATCGTTTAGAGCACTTGCCCGTCAATACTCCAACATTTGATAATAGATTCTTAGACAGATACAACGTTCTCATTACTTCTAACTTCTGTTGTATTGTATTAGGTTGGTGCAAATAATGAGCAATTCTCTAAGCCTTGTTTCAGGACAACTTTTTCCAGCAAACTTTCTTCTTTGAAGAATTTTTTGCATATTACTAACAAGGAAGGGACATTTGGTCGAAGTGGCGTTTCAACATGAAAAGCATATTATCTTATACGGCCTACAACGCTGATTCCAAATTTGCTTTCCTTATCTGCAAAGCGCTTCTGGGAGGGGAGTTACGAAAATTTTCGATGCAAAAAATTCGAAAGCGTGGCTACAATAAAAGCTTCAGAACTTTGATGTGAGCTCAAATAGGGCAATGAGTACTACCAAGGCCTTTTATGTGATAATTATCTTCGATCTAATAAACTCATGTCAGTCATTACTCCTTTCAAGCGCCGAAAAGATCTCAGCACCTGTTTTTACATTAACCAAATCACTGGATTTTTACCTCAAAAAATTTCCAGAACTTCTCTCTCAAAAGCGCTTTGCAGGTAATGAAGGCAGATTTGGAATCAGCGTTTTATGCACTATAAGATAGTGCACATTTCATATGAAAACGCCACTTCGACCAAGTATCCTTCTCTTGTAAGAAGCATTTCGTGCTCTATCTGACAGTTAAAACGGGCTTTCGGCCTCATTCGTTCAAAACTTACAGGGCATCACACAAGCGCACTCGAGACCGGAATCTCAATTCATTCATTTTTCTGGCCGGAATTCAAGCGTAGATAATGGCATTCTTTTGAAGATTTTAAATACTTTATGTAATGGAATTTGTCTAGATTACGCACACTTTACTATGTACTTAGAAATCATGGGGCTAAACTATAGGCGGCTCAACCTGGTAGCCGTTTTATTATTTTGTGGACCACAAAGTTCTTTTGGAAGAGGCAATCGCCAAATCCCTTTCATTCAAGGTAGAGCTCCCATTGACAGCTTTTACAAGAACATTTAGCTGTTCTGTGTGCAGAAACTCAAAAAACTCCGCAATTAGGGACTTAGACACAAAAAACTGAGAAAGCATACAATTTTAAATTCTGATTTGTTTCCTTTTGCAACCCCTCTTTGTTCAAGCCCTTTTCATCTTCCTTTGTACTAATGGCTTGCGGGTACAGGATGGGCTACACATTTTATACCAACAAAATTCTTAGGACATGATTTGTTAGAAACGAGGGCACGAAGAAACTTTCTTGTTTGTCAGTCCATGTTTTTCTCTACGTCTGTGATATGATTATAGATGGATGTGCGCTGTATTGCGAAAGGTTTGCTGCCCCTGATGGTCTTTATAGTAAAAAAATGTCGATTTTTCTAGAAAATTATAGCACGTCAAAGGGAAAACTCGCGAAACACCCATTATTTTTGTACCAATCTAATACCTCTCAGGTACATTGAAAATGGAAAATATAGCGATCATAAAAATAGAAAAATATCGGATGATACTCGCTACAATTTCACATGTCTTTTTGTGGTATTTTAGGTGAGCAGATCGATCAATCAAAAATTTATCGACTTCTCTGCTAAACAATCCACGATTGGGAAAGTTAGGAACAGAGTTAAGCGGCAGGTAAGATCAAGCAAACAAATTGTTTTAACCATCGCATTAATAGAACTGGAAATTTTCAGTTCTTCTTTCCTGGATACTACAACTCGTACAATTCTTTTGGAAACTACTACTATCCTTCTTATCCTGGGTACTTCAATTCTTACTACTACCCGTCTTATTCTTACTTCAATCCGCTGGGGACCGGATCCCTCTGGGCTGCTGGTGGCGGACTGCTTGGGAATACGCTATCATTCTTCATTGGCAAATAATACTGTAAGCGTTCATCTTAAGTGTGTCTTTGCTTAGTATATCTGTTGCCAAGTTACACGCGCATTGTTATTGTTTCTAATCGATCCTCTTCCATTCACTTCGCGTTTTCTACTGTATCATGAGAGACTGCAATATCTGTCCAAGTTCGCTGCACACGCTAATAAAGGCAATATCGCTGGCGAGCAAGAATTCACTCGATCTACACAGTTTTTGAGGATGCTTCAAAAGCCGTATTTATCATTGATATTTTGAGGTAAAATGAGGATTGTGTGAAAAGTACCTCGAGGTAAATTCTTTCTCCATCAAGCAATGTGCTTTCACCCTGAAGCACAATCTCATTTGAAACACAGCAAGAGACAAGGCAAGAAGGATGCCTCCAAAGACATAAAAGGTTCTCCTGCTGCAATTTTTGGGACTCAAAAAAGTGAATGGCAATTTCAAAACTGTGTGACACATAATCCCTATCTTCTTTGACTGTCCAAAAAAATGATTGATAAAAATAGAAATTAAAAATCATTTGAGAGAGAACTGAAGAAGACCTATTATTAAAAATTAGAATGTTACTATGTCCGGTATGTGTGCGCCACTACTTCAGGAAAAGTAAGTTAGCATGACTGCAAAAATACAAAGTTTTGGTGCCAGTAGGACTAACTTGCTCTTCATTAATTTTTTATCACTCACTCTTTCAATTTGTGGATACCACGTAACTTCAGTAAAGTATTCTTCAACACTATAAAACTGACGTTAGCCATAAGCTGCCTCTAGTACACATGCTTGATGTAGAAATATAAGAATTTCAACAAACATCACTGCTTATCACGTACGAACCGAAATCTATCTACACTAAAAAGATATAAAAATATGAAGCAACTATTTCTCAAAATCGGGTAACTACGAAAGCAAAAGTAAAAAGCTTCAGAAATGTGAAAATTCTCTTTACAAATCTACTTCATCAACTAAGGGAACGACTGGTGTAGTGGTATGAGCGCCGCTATGACCAGATCGCACGCAGGTTCGATCTCGCCCCTGGGCCTGGTAAATTGGTACCAGAGTAATCTGGGATGATAAAAGCACTGAATTGATAATCGGCTGGATCCCCGCTAGTCAGTGTATTAGGCCGCCGCCTTCATCAGCCTCTTCGACTATGAGATAGAGTGCGTTCGGCGCGTGCCCGTAAAGACGGCAAATCCTTTATCCTTTATTACTTTAACCAAACGAGCGGAATCTCTCCGGACATCCAGGCTTCACTATTGCTGAAGAATTCTCACGCAGCTTTGCAGATGTAGCTAAAACAGTTGAACCGATAAGGTCTTAGAGCTTGCAAGCCAGTGGTCTAGACAATATCCTTATAAGACCACTACAACATCACAACTCCAAAGATAAAATGTGCTGTGCAAATAATACGCGCGTATAAGAAAAAGCGATGCACTGCAACTGCCATGCATATTCTAAGTCAGTGTCAGTAATTATCACGTTGACAAGTAGATCTAGATAACTTGAAAGATAGATTGCGATGAGTACCAAATTTTAGAGGTAGATCGTACCTTGAGTAAGGTAGCTCTCGCCAAAGTAGTTCATTACAATCTTGACATTAGCAGGTGGCATAAAAAAAGACAATATTGCTTCTTCAGCCATCGTCCGAGTGTCTCATCCTGGCGTCAATAAATGTCGGTGGCGCCACAGAAATGTCATGCATTCGACAAGTTTGGTGGTCTGCTCCATTCAAACTCTATCTCTATTGCCATTTTCATTTCGAATATTATTTCGCTCTAATGATATAACCTCTATCACTGTAAAAGGTTTGCACGCATTTGGTAGCCTTTTCGACTATGAAGTGATGCACGTTGGCGCGCATTGGAGACGCCAAATCCTTTTTTCTTTATTTAAGGATGTAACTGAGGACTTTTTTAAATTGGACACGCCATGAAAGCAAATAGATATAGGCCAAGAGAAGCTCTGGCAAACGTGCCAAAAAAGAAAACTTATATCTTTTGTATAATTTCTTCGGGAGACTACAAGATAAACATTGCTTACAAAAAGGCCGAGAACATTAGTAATGTTACCGCAAATGTACCCTACATCAACTCTATACCCCAAACGCAATTAGCCTGTCTATTATTAAATTAAAAAGAAAACTTATATCTTTTGTATAATTTCTTCGGGAGACTACAAGATAGTGCGATGGAGAGTGTGCACAAATCTTGAGCACTGTTGGGTTTCAAAAAGCGCACATCGCTGCAGTTTATGAGGATGTTGAAGCCAGAAGTGGTGAACATCGCCTCCGACACCACTCACTCTTCCTCCATTCTGAAACCAGATCTTTGAGGAGGTAAACCTATCACAACGATCATGTCATTGACCTTTGACTCTTCTCTTCATCCGTGCACTGACGAAAATGCTTTTTTCTGTAAGTCGTCAAGTAATGTGCAGATAACTAATTTGGTTCGCTCTCCGGCCTGGAATCGGAACTTTTACATAATACGACAGAGATACTTATAAATCTCATTTAGGAAAATGCTACTGCTGTACAGTTTCCTGCGTATCAGTTGTGTTCCAACTTTGAATCGTTATAAGCTCTAAGCTGTAAAGAAAGCGTTGTCCGAAAGTCGTTCAAAACTCATGACTGGAAAAATGATGTATGAACCAGTTGTCTTGACAAACGAATAAGTAGCATCCAAAATCTGCATGAGTGATATTTGCTAACCAGCTCGTAGAGGTAAACCCCTTCAGAAAGACGATGAGAGATGCAACGATGAAAGTGATGGACCCAAAAGCGTGAAGAAAACTCGTGAAAGAGGCTTAGTTTAGTTTGACTATGTGATGGAGTGGCAGAGTAGATGAGCATGACCTCAGCCTTGCTAGATCGGGATGAATAGACCGAACAACCAGTGCTGCGCTGTAGCTGCGCCATGAGTGAGTATGATAGTCAGTGTCAACAATGCCCTTTATTTGGCCATAGAAGATCATCAAAATCCACATAGTATTTGATAAGAAAACAATTCACTGTTTATGGCAATGCCTTCATCTTTGCGGTTTATTTTTGGTGTTTTGGACGCTATCCAAAAGGCCTCCAACGTTTTGCAGGCTATTAACTCGGACTCGCGCGACAAGATCGTAACAGTGACTTGAAAGTATAGGTTTTCATGACATAGCCTTCAATGTGCACCTAAAGGTGTGGATATTTTGGACTTTCTTAGGCCGTCAAGATGCTCTCTGATTCTTGTGCACAAGGGTCTGCCAGTCTCTCCTATGTATTGGTCACCGCAATTTTGACATGAGATGTACCCTCCTATTTCCATGCAGTCGCCTAGTTTTCCAGACGGGCAGATGACACAACCAGCGGTTGTGCAGATTCTGTCGTATGCTCGATTGCGGCTAAGTTGTTTTTTGAGATTAGTAGGTGGGATATCTATAGACGGAATCATTGAGGCCCGCTTGAAGCAAAGATTTTCTGATAGCTCTGCTGAAATCATCAGTTACAATGGAACACAAAACGGTATTTTTGTTGTTTGGTTCAGTTCGATCGGTCTGCTTTCTCGCCTACAGGTATGCCTTAATGCACCTTTTTCAGGATAGCCGTTAGAATACGCAATCTGTTTGGCAAGGTTAATCGATGCATTGCGCTGTTCAACAATGGATGAAACCGATTTTGCTGTCTTGAACATGTTTCCTATCACGGACCGTTTAATGCTCGAAGGATGCGCAAAGCGGTAGTGAATTAATATTAGGTTGGTGCAAAAGTTCTGTCGTTTCATTTTCAAAAATTGGTAACTTCGCGAGTTTTTAACGCAATTGCCTGCTTGTAATTTTATTAGAAAGATTAGGTCCTCCGCTTTCAATCGTTGTTTTGTGGAGCTTCTGTTTCACACTGAGTGCAGAAATAAAAATGAAAACTAAGACCATGTAAACTTTGACCATTTTAAGTTAGGTCACCAAAAATCTGGAATGCTGCGGAAAATGAAATTGTCAGTACATATGTTTTTTGACCTACCCTTTGCATCTGTAAAAAAATTGTGCTGTTTGGACGTTTCTGCGAAAAGTTATGAATATCGAGTTTAATATGGAGAACGATAAAATCAATTAATTTGTCATTCGCGAAAATCATAACTTCTCACAGAGACGTCCAAACAGCACAATCTTTATACAGATGCAAAGGGTAGGTCAAAAAACATAGCAGCATTCCAGATTTTTGGTGACCTAACTCAAAATGCTCAAAGTTTACATGGTCTAAGATTCCATTTATCTCTGCACTCAGTGTGAAGCGGAAGCTCCACAAAACAGAGTTTGAAAGCGGAGGACCTATTCTTTCTAATAAAATTACAAGCAAGCAAATCTGTTGAAATCTGGCAAAGTTACAAATTTTTGAGAATGAAACGACAGAATTTTTGCACCAACCTAATATATTTTTACTAGCTGGTTTGCGGAACCATTTAGTTACGTATGATATCCGTTAGACAAAGACACTTGAACGTTTAGGAATGCCAGCCAATTTTCCCGCGTGAATCTTATGTTAGGGGATTGGCTGTTCAGAATGTCGAAGCATATGTCAATTTCACTTTGAGTTGGACATATGATGCAGCAGTCGTCAATGTATCGACAAAAGAGTAAGGGGATTACGATCAAGTACGGGTTTCTCGATCTTTGACATGAAGACAATTGCGACGACGAAAGCCAATCTTTGCCCCATCGCTAGGCCACGTACCTGCTTGTAATACCTTCCTGACCATCGGAATATGCTGCAATTTAGGCATTCTTTCAAAAGTGTCATTATTTGACTAATGCTGAACACATACATATTGAGAGCAGATTGATGTTTCGAAAGCAGCTCATACACGGCTTCCATACCATTTTCGTTGGAGACATTTGTGTACAAGAAGTAACATCAAAGGTCTCTATCGCACATTCTCCATCGAACTGCGTGTACTGAGCTGCTCCAAAAACATTTTAGTATTCGAACGATGGGCAGGGCACAAACTTCAGTAACTGTGTTAAGATTAAGTTTAATAGCCAAGAGATTCTATCATTTGGGCCACCGCAGCTGCTTATTATGGGTCTTACTTTGTAGCCTAAAGGACTTTCTAAGAGCAATTTTGACGCAAGGAGTTTGTGTGTCTTTATTAGCACGTAAAGGACTGGATATTTGGGTAAATCGATTTTAAGTTTTGATATTAGAGCTTTAGGTAAGCCTATAGAGTTCGCTATGTTTACCCACACTTTGTTCAAACGAGGACTTTGTTTCGCAAACTCTTGCTCGGAAGAAGTGCAGTACAGAGTGCTATCATCCAAATGGTATTCAGTTACGACCATATCTAAGCTACGCGCCATCACCACAAACTCCCCTAACTTGTCGCTGGTTGATATTCTTATTTCCTTTCTAGTGCATAGATTATGCAGTGCATGTTACGATCTTGTCGCACGAGTCCGAGTTATTAGCCCGCAAAACGTTGGAGGCCGTTTGGATAGCGCCCAAAACAACAAAAATGAACCGCAAAGATGAAGGCATTTCCATGAACAGTGAACTGTTCTCTTATCGAACACTATGTGGATTTTGATAGAGATCTTCTATGACCATATAAAGGGCATCCACTGACTATCATACTCACTCATAGCGCAGCTACAGCGCAGCACTGGTTGTGAAGCCGCCGATGCCTACGTTTTCGTTTCACGAAGTTTATTATGAACAAACATCTTCACGAAACGTGTGGACTATCGAAAGAAAGCCGACAATTGTAATAAATAGAACGGCGTATTCTGAAAGCGGCACTCTAGTCCAAACAAGATCATTTGTTCTCTGCTTTAAAAAATGTATCTGTAAAGAAGAATGTTGCGAACGCTTGGTGCCGAACGCGCTTTAGAAGAGAATCGTGAGTAGGTCGAGAAACATTTGCGATTCTGTTCGCCTTAATGCCAAGTTAAGGTTACGGGAGAAGTTTGGCAAGTTGATGGATGTGAAATCCAAACAACTATAGTGTGGACCCCGGCCAGGTTCCCATAGGTACTTCCGCTGCGCGCACGAAGCACGCGCACTTCTTAATGCTTCTCGCCTCACTCATGAGCAGTAGAGCACATTTATGCTCACAAAGGAGAAAAATGTAAAGTGGAAACCCCTAGGTTCACCTCGAAAGAGACGTATGCAAGAACGAAACGCAGGCAGCCTCCATGAGTACCTCAAATTCAATCAATGGATGCATATTCCGAACTTGCACTAATGGATAGGTTGTAATAAGTATACGCAGAGAAATCAAAAAGCAACAGCATTCTTAAAACATTTCTCTTCGTAGATGTAGAAACTAGAGTGGCTAAAAACTTCAAAAAAAGTGGACATTTCAGTAAACAAATGCCTATTGGCTTCTCGGAAGGCTCAATTTTGACTTGGGACACTGTCTACACCTTACAATCAAACCGAAAGGGACTCTTATTTTATACAAGAAGCTTTTGAAAAAATATTATCTTAATATCCAATCAAATCTCAATTTTTCAGAGAAAAAAGGGAAAACACAAGATGGATGTGAAATCGAAACATGGATGTGAAATCGAAACAGCTAACGTGTGCTCCAGCCACTGCTAGTTCTGTCGAGAAAAGTCAACCGACAAGGTTTATCGACATTCGAGCACGAAATCAATAACATGCTTTACATCGATAAGCCACAGGCAGGATTAGCGCATTTAGGATCAGCATTTTGAGCTGATTTTAATGGTATTTTTCTTTTTTTGTAAAGGCAGCCTAAGTTAGATGCTTGTCAGTTCTAAAGTCGCATGAAAATTCATGTATCTCGTGACCTCTTTCGGTTTTTCGAGCACAGAAATTCGACTGGAAACTTCAGTGCGACGTGGTAACAACTTTCGACCATGTTGGTAAGCTATATATGTTTTTTGAATGCTTTTGGCATGGGTTTTTCAAGGCAAAGTGTACATATAGGTGCGCTCTCACTCATGCGTCGTTTGCATATCGTCTTCCCTCACTGTCGTTCAAAGTCGACGAAGACTGGCCAACGACTTGGTCTGAGCGTATAAGGCTAATGCTTTCCTGTAACAACACAAATCATACGAAGTTACGCTTAAAATTCAAAATGGGTTGAGCTGCGCGGTGAAAACTAATGCAATGTTCAGGTGGCATAGGATTTGGTACATAACAATGAGCGACGGTCAAAAATCTGCCGAAACTCAAATGCGATCAAGGAGTCCAAGCTGTGGCAATCTTTTATATGAAGCTGGATGTGTGTGTATGTGTGTATGTGTGTATGTATGTATGTATGTATGTATGTGTGTGTGTGTGTGTGTGTGTGTGTGTGTGTGTGTGTGTGTGTGTGTGTGTGTGTGTGTGTGTGTGTGTGTGTGTGTGTGTGTGTGTGTGTGTGTGTGTGTGTGTGTGTGTGTGTGTGTGTGTGTGTGTGTGTGTGTGTGTGTGTGTGTGTGTGTGTGTGTGTGTGTGTGTGTGTGTGTGTGTGTGTGTGTGGCTATTTTCCGTTATCGATCAATGTTGAGTTTATCGATTCTGCAAACTTTGAGCTATTGGGGCTGGAAGTTGGTACAGGAGGCGGGTAAGTAAGCATGCTGACTGCAAGTACAATATTGGTTTTTAGAGTCGTCAATAATCTCAACGATTATATACATTATTTGGGTTACGAAGCTGGAGCGTGGCACATGTGGAAGTGAGCACTGATTACGATTACGTTATTAATTTTGAGATCAGCTATGACTACTTTATCGATTTTATCGTTCTTTTGCAAAATCTGAGATGCGAGGTTCGGAGTTGGCACAGGGGAGTAGTGGGGACGCTAATTACGAAAACAAGAGGGAATAGGGAACTGGCATTAAAAGTGGGCACAGGAAGGTTGACAGGAAAAGGAATGATAACTTCTATCATAGTGTTTCGACAGTACCGGCGGAGCCGGATACGTTCGCGGAGTAGCGGGAGCCGGGTAGGTTTCTTCAATTATATTCAAGCACTTGCTTAGAGGTTGCCGTACCAGCAAAAGGGTAATGCCGTATTTCTACTGATGCCCCCATCGAACACCATATTTTGACTCATTATGACCCATTCATGTTTTAAACCAAGACTGTGTTTAGCAGGTGACCTTTATTATGTGGTTTCCTTGAAAGAATTGGAGGCGGGAACTTCCTTCTTTTCTCGTCAAGTCTTTTCGTGAAACCTCTTCCGTGTTCATCGAACATTTTAGATACAGGTAAAAAGTCGTCCTCATGATAGGCATGCAGTTTAATTTTGTTTTCATGCTTTCACGAAAGGGTTCTTCATAATTGATTCTACCCTCTCATTCCGAGCTTCTCAAATTTCCTACTTATCTATTCTTCCATCAACTTTTATTAACCGATTGTTTCAAATGTAACTTCAATAAATTGTAAAGCATCTCGGGTTCTTCAAAAAAAAAATATTTGCGTACATTTTAACACTAGGTGGCGTAGAGCTCAGTTCAGACTAAAGGTTTTTTCTGAAGAAATATAGTCCGCTGAGCATATAATCTTTGCTTCAATACCTTCACTTTTCAAGGGAACGGAGGCTTGAGCAACTATCATCTTTGAGGTTCGTTTGTCATTCATCAAATATATGTTCACCCATGCGAATTTTTCATAATCATCTCATTACTACTTCAATTTTTCGCTAATGTGTCAAAAGAGTTGCCAAGAAATTTCTTAACTTCATAACACCAACGTCGTGACTTCTCGTTCTCTCTTTTGATTGATTTGCTGCTCTGTCAACTAAAACTGAAATCCTTCTTTTACCTTGTATCTTTTGACAAAAATCAAGTCCAGTAAATAACTTCGTACGTCCCAACATGTTCTGTATGTCGCACAAGCAATTGTTTTATGTGATTGAGAAACAGATGATCAATCATTCAGCACGTGTTTGTTTTTCGATTGATGGATGTTTAGTTGAACTGTAACAATTTGAGTGTGAAAACTCGCTCATTCAAAAATTAGAGAGTTTGACCGATTAATGATTACGATGTCTGGGCGTTCTTTGATTACTGCCTCTGTTTTCTATTTTGGAGACTGATTACCTTTTCGCAGCCTGTAACAAAAGATCTCGCTCACAATTCTAAAGAATTGCGTTGCTCTCGATGGAAAGTAAGAAGCTAACATTTATAAAGTAAGGTACAGCAAAGTTTTTTTGTGCTATGGCATCTTTTCATATCTCGTATCTCTGAGCGCAAAGATATCAGTCAATTGATCACCTCTCCTTTTTTCATCTGACAGGTAAAGAAAACTAAAACACCCCTTTAACGGCGCCAAAACTGAAACTTAGGAAGTAGAACAGTAGTGTAATAGCTAACTATTATACTTTGTGGATTATGCAAACATCACAGAACGCAACTTCGGAAATCTGCTTTTTATCCAGGATTACAACACTTGGAACTCGACCCCTATTCATCATTGCTCCGTCAATATAGATGATGTTCTCGTAGATGTGACTTCAGTTTGAACTTTTGCACCAAAAAATAATTGATTAAAATTTTTGTTCGCACGTGAACTTATCGACTACATTCTTGTGCTCGAGAAAGTTCCAAATATTGTGGTCGCGTTGACTCGCCCTATAACTGCGGTGCAGTTATCTATATTGCCATTGTATTTCATCCTTTTTTGCCGCCAAGGTTTTATAATATAGAACGAAGGCACTGACTGCCGTTCAACTGCTTTTATCATCCTTTTTGTCGTTTTGTTTCGTGGTTATTTACAAGGACCTGCAAATCTTTTACTTTTTGCAGAAAATCTGCCACGAAAGAGAACATGTTTCGGATAATTCAACTTTTAATACTTCCGACTTTAGGTTTCGCGTTTTATGGAGGTAAGTAATTGAGTGAGATTATTCACAACTAAGTTATTCCACCTAAAAGTTCCAAAAAGACACGATGTCAAACTTCGTTGTTGAGTTTTATTCATGGAAAGTTTGATCGATAGAGCTAGCTCCTCATAAAAGGCACAGTGGAGAAGTAAAAAAGCAGATTGAAAAAAATAAACATAGACAAGTGGTGGTTTACTTACAATCTCAATCAATGCTGTTCACGGCAAGGGTTATCACGTCGCACTGGCAAATTGTGAAAAGGTGCCTATAAGCGATTTAAAGCGCAACCTGTGAGATAACCAGTGAATACTTCTGACAAAAAACGTTAATTTTGATTCCTCTGTTTAGAGGGTAAATTTTCTTTTTGTAGTCAGTATAACGAAAAGCCTAGAAAAGCAGATATGAAACAGTATTCAAAGGCGCTGCTGATGATAAACATTTCAATTTGCCAGCGACTATGCTTTTATTGTAAGAACAGAGAAAGAAAAAAGTGTAGTGTTGTTTCGAATTTGTATTCTCTGTCGTAGATATTGTCTGAAGTTGCACACTTTTATTCACATCTCAAACCGATCGGGTTTTCATTCAAAAATGAGGAGAGTAAGTACTATGGAAAGTGAGGTTAATGTGAAAAACGGTAAATAATTGATTTTCAAAAAGCTTAAGCGCTGCAGCAGGCTTTATCTTTGAATCAAAGCGTAGGCTACGAAACAGAGTTTCTTATAGAAACTTCATTCGCTAGGAATGTTTTGCAGGTATGATGATGCCTATGGGTGGCATGGGATTTGGGTGGCCAATGAGTGGATATGGAATGATGGGCGGCATGGGATATGGAGGATATGGAGGATATGGTTTTGGCGGATATCCAGTAAGCTAGCAATCTCGACTTTGCTGTTTAGCCACAAATATATAATTGCCATGTAGCAACGGATAGAGATGCCATGATGTTATATGATTTATTACTAAGCAGATAATCTACATATAAAATAAATATACCTTAATTTCACGCGCATAAGGCGAGGGGTTTTTTTTTCAAAATCTACCAGCCCAGACACGCCAATGGACTTTACAACCAAAGGACCCTATAACGTGCTGTATATTGCTTGAGAGAATCGTGCGGTATAAAGATCTCTTTCCGAAATGCAGTGAAGCGGCTGAGCGGCTCGTTTGAAAAATCAAAAAAGTGCGCCTTATACGCGTGAAATTAGTGTAATAAATAAATAATAGATATCTTATCATTATGGGAAAAAAGCCTGAATAAGTGTTTTTAAAGCGTATTTTGTGAAACATGCGCCACAGAACACTTGGCAAATTGAACATTCAAACACTTGTAACTCCTTCCAGACAGTCGCTTGGCGGATAATAAACATATATTTGTGATCAGCGCTTCAAGGCGATTGCGATATATAGCATGTTTGGTATGGCTGAGTTAAAGGCACCGTCCACCTTAGGTTGAGAGCGTTGTGCTTTTGGCAGCATATAATAGTAGGGTCCCCTATCAATGCAGTGCCCAAGTAACGGCGCAAAATGCCGCTTTGGAAGCGAGGAAATCGCTTCGGAATAGCGAAGATGCACGCGGACTCCCGTCCATGCCCGTCCATTTGTGCGCGCCCATCCAATCACCATTCCGGAAAGCCGGCTTGTGGGTTCCTAGAAGGGGATTGCCGGGGTTTTCGCGCATTCTTGACTTCATATTCGGAATAAGGAACATGAGAAGGCCCTAGACAAAAACGTGGAAGTCGAAAATCGCTCTGACCATCCCCTGCTTAGCTTAGTGAAACAAAGGAATGGAATCGTGATACAAGATTATAAGGTTGAAACGCATCAGCTCAATCACAAAATGCATATCAATAATGAAATATGTTAGTTCGGTCCAAGAGTTCGTGCCGTTTTTTAAACTCATGCTCTAATCACGTAAAATGATAGTAGTCAATGGTCCTAAATATCCTTCAATATGGATTTTCCTTCTCTCCTTGATAGCTATGTCTTGGTTCAGATTCGTTTGATAGCCGCTCGATTACCTTTCAGAATCTCCAGCCCATGGTTTTCAGCTCTTAAGTTTGGCTCAGGGCCTGCCACCAGCTGGCACGGGGCAAGCTGGATATCGTTTTTTGGGACAAAAAGCAAAGGGAATATCGCTTTTGTCGACAAATTGGAACGTTTTTTCTAGTCGACACGTTTTGTTTTTTTGGGGGTTTTTTCACGTTTAGGTTCAGGGTCAAGGGGAAGTTCGTAAAACTTTGCGAAAATCAAGGAGGACTTCGCTTTGAAAATTCCCTGGTACCAGCTCGTGCCGAGCCCTGGTTTGGCTATTTTTTAAATTTTCCATTCTTCAACGTTTGGACTAGATTCCATAAAAGTTGAGAAGAATAAACAAAGCGCATTATGATGAACTACTTTAACCGGGCTTCAATTAGCCTTCCAGTATTTTTTGAAATAAATTCTCAAGGCCTTCATTTTTGCGTCGTAAGATAATCGTAAAATACAAAAAAATCAAGTCGTAAAATACATAAGTGCTTCACACACTGATAAATCTTCGGAGCTCCTTGGAGCTTCCAAATGCAACTTATCACAAAACGCTAGCAGCTGCCTTTAGCGGTTTGAAATATTAGATTACGAATATCCTGAATACAGCTTGGGACGGATCCGAGAACAAGAATTATACTGATTTTGTCCTCAAATATCCTATAAATTAGGAAGAAAAAAGTCTAGCAGAATAAGAAGAAATAGCTGCATCGAATGACACCTTGGTTGCTCTACGCGCATTGTTCTGTGAGGATTGGCATGCCCAAACATGGAACTTGATAGCATCACAACAAAATTTTTCTAAAATTTTGAGCTAGCAACCATAAAATGTATTGTATTGGTTCTCTATCAAACTGTTATCAAAGCTAGTCCAAAATGTAAAAGTGGAAATTCCAAAAAATAGCAAAAAAAAAGTAGAAGCCACAGGTTGGAGATTCTGACGATTATTGGAGCGGACATCAAAGGAATCTGAACAAAAGCATAAGTTTTAGAAAGAGAAAAATCTGTATTGACTTTATTTAGAGCCTCTGTCTATCATTATTTTAACCCTGGTTCGAGCATGGGTCTGGAAAACCCACGAACTTTCGGACTGACCTAATATAAGCCATAAAACACACACTGGTTGGTGCATTCCATCAAATTTGGAGAATTTGTTTTGGAGGTGTTCACCAAACCACAAATTATCTGATATGCTCTATATCATGTCAAACACCGGGTGTCCCCAAAGTAAGTACACACTTTATCGTTAATATCTCTCTTCCTATTTTGTCTTTTTTCTGCCATTCAAGTACCATTCTGTAGAGGAGGCTTCAACTTAACCTGACAGTTACGAGCAAATCACCGTTCTTTTTCGTTACTGTAAGATTATAGTAAGAACTTCCAGCAGTCGGAACCGTTGTGAAATATGCCATCTGACAAAATTTTTTCAAATAATTTGAAAAATCATGTGCTAGGGTTTTCGGGCACGCTGATTCCACTACACAACTTTTTATGAGTGTTTTTAGCTTTTTTGACGGTGTAATCACATTTCTGACAAATGCTGGAAATTCGATTTCACGGTTTACGTGGGCTAACTTTGAAAAGAAGCATTAGAGTGAAGTGGAAGTTTTGAATTCGAAATCAGCAGCTTCCATTAACATAGTATCGGGGTTTTCTGCTTCTTTGTTTTTGTTCCTAGGCAAAATATCCTCCAATTCCCTAAAATCTTTAGCGAGGTTCCCACAGTAACCCTACAGTAACGAAGAGAGATCGGTGATTCGCTCATAACTGTCAGGTTACGCTGAAGCCTTCTCTACCGAATGGTGCTTGAATGGCGGAAAAATACATAATGGGAAGAGAGATATTAACATTGAAAAGTGTGTGCTTACTTTTGGGACACCCTATATTTTACATAATATTTCATGCAAAAGAGTTGTCATACAAGGGAACGATCCCAACTTAAGGTGGCGAATTGGAAGAAACCGCAAATCATTGGATGCCTTGATGAGCTGATTTCATATCTACCTTCCATATCTGCGATGCCGTTATCTGCAAAGGTTGTGAGCGGTTGAGAATATTAAGTTATTGGGGTTTTATTGCATAATATGCTTCAAAATCCAACTTGGGAGTGTACGACTAACATGAAATTGAGTGTACTGATTTCAAGGGGTTCTCACATTTTAAAGAAACAAAATGAGTGTTTTTGAACAACTAATTTTCGAGGTATGACGGTGTATATTTGCCAAATTTGAACTTTTCATTGCTCATAGCTTTTACCAAAGAACTATAGTTGCTTTTTAGCTGTTCAAAAACACTTATTTGTGTTTCTTTTGAATGTGAGCATTCCTTGAAATTAGTAGACTCAATGTTATGCTAGTTGTGCACATCCAAGTTGATTTTGAAGCAAATCATCCATTAAAACCCCAATGACTTCACATTTTTAACCTTTCATAACTATATCCAAATAACGGCATCGCAGATACGGAAGTAGATTTGGAATCAGCTCATCAAGACGCATTCAGTGATGTGCGGCTCATTCGCCACCTTAAGTTGGGATGGTTTTCTTGTTAGAAAAAATCGAAAGCTTCGATGATACTTGACTTGTTGACATATCCATTTACCTAAAATTCTCTTCGCTAGAAAGGATAGCTATGAAATTGAGAATAGGGATAAATGCAGATTAGATTGAACGCTTAGCAGATAGCGATTGAATCGGCACTTTTTGGGTGTTTCTTTTCAGTTCCTTGTATCGTTTCACATGCCAACAAAAATTTTTTCGTTCAAATAAATTTGTAAAGCGCACATTTTAATTTTTCTATTGTATTTCAAACAAACGTTTGAACCTAAAAAAGGTTACCCTAACTTCATGAGTACAAGACGCTTTTCTTCCAAGCAAGCAGCTCAGCCGCACCACTGCGATTCCGCGAATAAACATTCTTTGACACAAATCTTTCAAGTAAGGAGCAAGGAAAGCCCCTGTTAGCAATTTTCTGACTTTTTCAGGCTGGTTGAGTCTAAAAAAGCGTAATATACTCATGAAAATAGGTTAAACTAAAAAAATAGTTGCATAAATTACAATCTAATGCAAACCATGTTTTTATCTGACGTTTTACAAATCGCTGCTTGAGCTAAGGATTTTAGTTGTATGGGTCAATGATGTATGGGACCGGATCACCGTGGGCTGCTGGAGGAGGGCTCGTAGGAAATGCTTTGTCATTCCTTGTTGGATAAGCAAATTAGATAGATCCGTTGACCCAGTCTTCATCTGTAACCAACAACTTTATTGCCTTTTTTGTATCCGTCACTCTGATTTTATGCAGACTGAATCGCATGTAAGTAGCATTGCATGACGTTGGAGCGCGGGGGTGGTTTGCGCTTTTGGTTATAATCCGATACAATCGACTGATCCTTCATCAGTTTTTTTTTGTGAAAGAGCGACCCCTTTTTAGCGGAAATGCCACTTTCATCGCCACAGGAATGTTCATGCAAAAGGATCAAAAACAGATAAATGCCCCACGCAGCCAACAGCATTGTCACTTTGTGCGCTACTTCATCGGGATCACGATATGTCGCGATTTTTGTTGTTGACATTGACGTAATATACTTGGTAAATCAGCTCATTTACTAAGTTTGTTGTTGCTTTATTTGCTACAAGGTGACACACCCGGCTCCGCCTTCCTGTCCACTCTATAATAAATATTCTCCTATTTCTGTACAGCATTCTCCTGTTCCGGTCCGTTTATGTATGCCAGTTCCTATCCCATTATGTTTTTGTGATCAGTGTACTAACTCAAACCTGTGTCAGTTCCCAGTCCCTTAGCTCAAAGTTTGCAAGATAAAATTGATATTCATCGATGCCGTTGTTAGCGTTCGCAATTTTAAGATACATCATCTAAACGAGAGGCATATGATGTGTGTCATTGTCGATCGTCTATCATATGTACGTCAAAAAAATTATAGCTCGCCGTCGAGTGCTGACAAAGTTGACAGAGTTGTTGACAGAGTTAGTTGCATGAAATCGAGAACGCCCATGGCAATGATCAGCGTATCGCTAGGTGTGGGATGTGGGCACGTGAAGGGTGGGCCGAGATCTTGATCATCAGGCACAGCATTTTCGTGATCAGCATTCATCTTTTCCTCTCCCTAATATGTAGTGATATACTGAACATGCTGCTATCGTAGCATGCTCTCTCAGCCTTTTGCTACCAAATTCCAGCACAGGACCTGAAGCTTGCTTAAACATCACAATAAATTGACTAGTGTAAGTGATATCTAGGCGAGCGAGGTGTACATACGCAAAGCTTGGTCCAATTTTGCTTAGAAATGAACTTCAATCAAACACGTGCACGTACGCATACACAAATTAGACATTGAAGTTTACCTCTGCTCAAACTTTGCTCATACTTTCTTCACTTTGTTCATGTTCTTACTTTTTCTTTTTTTTTTTACTGAGCTCGCCTTGGAGATACTAGTAGCCCGCATAGCTTGCCCAGGGTATTATCTTGCTGGTAGGCCTGGTCCGACAGGATTTTAGGTATGCCTGTCTAGCGTGAGGGTCCAGGCATGCCATTTGGTGTTGGGCACACCATAGCTACTCGGCCGACTGGTGTGCAAATTATTATCCGTTAATGCTGTCGTACTACTAGCCCAAGCTTGCTACGTATGAAAGAAACACTTAAAGGTTGATTTTTGCCAAGTAATATTTTGTGGACTTTGTAACTTCGTTATGTTCTGTTTTACTAATGTGGGTTTGGTGAGTTTGTTGGGTAACCCTCCGATTTTTGTTTGCTATAGCGCACGTTATGTGCACGAAGATAAAAAACGAAGGTAAGGTTTTTGAAAGATTTCTTCCGTTCAAGTACGATCAAATAGCACTCTAGTAAGCGATTTGATATTGTAGACTATGGTAGGCTAATACGGTACTAATATGATAGATTTTTCGAGGTTATTGTTGTATATTCTGGCAAACAATCCAACTATAATAAGAAGCTTCTGGCTTTGCTCCTTCTGCTTTGGTCCTACACATTCAACGGCACTTACGAAAGTTGTTTTAGACGGCTAAATGGGAATTCGTCAAGAGCATGCTAGTTTTTCTTGATTGAAGAAAGAAAACTGTCAGAAATATCTGTATCTTATTCCATCATTACACTAAATCACTCTCTATTTCTACTCCACAGATTGGAAGAAGATGGTTGTTGCTCTTTCACGTGAATCATATTATTACACCATCAATAACCATGATTTCAAACCTAAGAGAGCGAAGCAAGACAAAAGGCAACTGAAAATTTCAGAACCGGTTTGTTACGTGCGTACTTCTACGCAGACATAAATCAAAGGCAAGCTTGCGTTAGGGCACGACACGAGGTCCAATTTGGTCCAATTGGTCCAATTTGGCTTAGAAATGAATTTCAGTCAAACACGTGCACCTCACATACACAAAAATAGACATTAACTTTGTTCATAAGATTTTTGAAAGATTTCTTCCGATTTCTTTCAAGTACGATCAAATAGCACTCTTATAAAGATTTGGTATGGTAGACTATGGTAGACTAATACTAATACTGGACCAATTGTGCACGTTATCGTGTAGTAACTTGATGAGGAAGCACCCATGCAAACATGAACGTTAATTTCGTATCTCCTTTGCCTTTTACCCAAAGTTTAGCTCAATATGTGCCACTCTTGCGCCGGACCTTGGCTTGCGTGGAAGCTTCAGTGATAAAACGTCTTGATCCTGGCTATCACGGTACGAACAGCGCAAAAACGTGAAATTTTTTGTACTTTTACCTATTTACAGTTGATTATCACAGATATGCAAGACGTACAGGGGCTTCATTTTTTTGCGGCAAGAACGATATTAATGAGCTCTTAATAATGAACTCATTGGTTTAGATGTAAATCTGATCTACTTCAAATTTCCAATCTCCAAAAGTAGAATTCTCAAAAGGCAAAAAAAGCATTTCTGACACCTTTCCTTTTCTTGCAAAGAGGGTGTTTTTGCATAGGTTTTTCTGCTAAATATTGAAAATGGCATTCGCACATCAATATAAAACGAATTGGTTTGCTTTAAAAGACCATGGGACTTCCCTTGACAAAATCGCTTCATGGAATGAGCAAGACTGAAGCGTTAGCGCTGAAAATTGCTGCACAGCAACACGGTTGACCATACTGTACGCAACCTAACTGCACCGTACAAAAATTTCTACTGCAAGGAAAGAACCAAAAGACATGTCCAGTAAGTTCCTCTGCTAGGATAAATAAGGCTCAGTAAAGGCAAACATCTCCAAATTGGTCCTGCAAGATTGACTAAAAATTACGGTACTTCACTATCCAACGTACTTCCCAAATCTCTTTCTATCAGGTTCCTTGAAACCAGACTGCCTTTTGAAGAAAACGAGGTCCAGAATTCAACAGAAAAGAAGGTCGTGCTCATCAAGTGGACATACATTAACAACCGTAATGGGATAAAATTCCGTCATCGATTTACAATAACGGTACGAACTTATGGAACGACTCAATACATGTAGAAAAAGTTTGTTTCATGTGTTTACTGAAACTTTTCAAGGCTAAATCAAAGATTTGAAAGAAACTAAACTGCGATAACACTGGTAAATGGATATCCCTCAAAGAAAACAGAAAGATAAAAAGCTGAGAGTGAGCTTGATTCGTTTGTCATTCACTATTTTGGAGTTTTCCAAACCAATGAAAGACAAAGTGTAACACCAAAGTTTAGCGTTTTTGATAGTACAACCAAAAACGGTAGCGTTTTCGAACTCATTAAAATATGTTTCGTCAAGTTAAACTACATCATAAGAAGCACGTACACCACTGGACTGAGCAATATAAATGAGCTATAATTGTAAGGTTATTGACATCAAGTAATGGATAAAGGAAAAACCAGCTGTGTGAAAAATACCGGAGTTTTTGCATGCGCGTGAACAACTATCTCTTTGGGCTTATGTGGAGTCGCTTGCCGATTATCCGATTATCCTTGGAAAAGCACTTTAAAGTCATCGTTAAGTTGTGCTGAAGATTTAACATAAGATGCTGCGTATGTTTGTCGTAGAATTAAGGGAACTCAAAGATGATGAAGTCTTTGGTACAGTATGGACCCCGGCCAGCTTTCCATAGGTAGAAACCGCGGCGCATACGCAACGCGGACCCGACTTGGACGCTTCTCATTCCGCTTACGAACACGAAAGCATTTCTGCTTGAGTAAGGAAATGAGAAGTGGAAACTTCTATACGAAACTCAAGAAAAGCCAAAGCCTTGCAAGAATGTTCTTCTGTAGAACTTCCTCCGAAAAAAGTCGAGGAACGTTTTTTTACGTCCAAAAAAACTGGAAAGTTTGAGATCGAGAGCAGAATGTTAGAAGCAGAGCTCTAACGGCGCATTAAAAGAGCCTAAAAACATCCTCAATAAAAATCAATCGGACTAACAGGTTTATTCTGTAATAGCAGCCACTGAAGAGATTCCCATATACTAAATCTAAACCTTCACTATCAAAAAAAAGAGATTAAAAGCGCTCAAGGCTGTCGAGTCTCGTAAAAACTCATCAACGGAAGTTGTCGGGAGTTTTTTGCACATAAAATAGAGAAAGACAGAAGAGAACAAAGTCATTCGAGAGAGAAAAGTAAAAAAATCCAGTAGGGCTGAAACGAAAAGCGCACTAAAGGCATGCGCTGCGCACGCGTCACGGAGGTACCTATGAGAAGCTGGCCGGGGTCCACACTATAGATAACCGCTTGCGAGAAGGGGTTTATCGATAAACTCATAGCTCCCATATGTTATCTGTCCTGTCGAAAACATACTAAGAACATATTATATCCTAAACACTACTTTGAAATATTTACATCAAGTTTGCGGGAAAGTGAACGACTCTGAAAAAAGGTTGAACCCCTGGAGATTCCTTGAGGAGTTATACAACAAAAGAAATGGAAATTTTAGCTTATTGGCAATGCGCTATCAGCTATCATGCTAATGTAAGCTGAATTGTCGAGCTTCCAAAAGTTGCTTAGAGGAGAAAAATAAAGATTTGTAGAAGACCGAGATCCAGAATCACATGCATGACTCCGCCGAGGAGGAAAAGGTCAAAATACTTAGCAGAGTGGGTTTTTGCATACTTGAAAGCAACACTGGCTTACAACAGTACTTCATGTGATAAGGGAACGTCGAATAGGATGAAGAAACCTTCTCGATGTATACAAACGCTTTCTGATACAAAGAGGTCAAAGAAATGGCTACGACACAAACATTAAATGTGGTGCAGCTACCAGGAGGTATACCTGAACTAGACCGATGTGACTGGCCAAAACAACAAAAGTTGCTTTCGAACTTATTTCTTACTCCTAGTTATTAACTGAGGCATACTTGAGAAATGAAGAATGAACAAAGGAAACACAGTAATCCTGAAACTTCTCCCTTTGCGATTGTTCAGCGCAAGTGCGGCCGCTCCTGCAGGCAAACTATATCTGCCGAGGAACCTACTCAGCTGTAAGTGCATGCGAGTATTATAGCTTGCTTTGCTTTGTGGAATAGTATCACAAGCTTTTGATTTGATTGAGCGAAATTAGCAAACATTCCGACAATATTCAAAAAATATGACGCAACTCTATGCAAACCTTGTGGGAAAGTCATGCATTTAGACAGGCAGCGCATTGCACTTCCTTTGCGAGAATTTTTTGTTTTCTCAAACGATTTTTGTATCCAAGGAATTCACTTCAAATTTGCTTTTCAAATTATTCGTAGAATAGAAGCTTTACTCGTAACTCTGGGCACGGCTTCTTTACACAGTGAAAAAATGTAGACAACTGACAACATCTTTTATTGCTGCGATTATTATGTGTATCCGTAGGCAGTCATGATAGTTTAACAAACTTTGGAACTTATTGTTAGTATATTATAGGAAAGTATCAACTACAGCCCACACACCCCATATTATGTCTGCCAATCGCGATACACCAGCGATGTCGAGGTAGCAATACATATGAAAAAGGTTAGTGTTTCTTTGATTTTGAGCTTTGGGCAACGTCTGTCCACGTTCGTATGACAACCTAATATTGTTACCGCTGAATCAAAAATTGCAGTATAGTGCGTGTCAGATCAAAAGATAATGCAGTTTAATAAATAAGGGGTAACTCAATGAAATACATTGTCAGACAGTTCAGTGAAAAAAAAAACCTTGAAAAGGTTAGCAATCTTGATGAAGTGATGTAGACAAGTAATTGACCCATTCGTCGGCTTTTTTAGTTGTGACGTTTGGAAAACGGATACGCTCTTTGATAACAAATCACATAATTGATTTTTGTTTGAAATTTGCCAGTTTTCCTTTCGATCACTCAAGAAACTTCACACATGCTACCTTTCTGCAATCAGATTCGAAGTTTTATTGCAAACTTTTAATAGCTGCTATGCTTTGACTTCCTCTATCTTTCATAATTTTGTGATTCACATTGTAGTGCAATTTTTGTGAGAACTGTATCATAGTGCACTGTTTTTACACTTTCAAAAAGCAAGGATTTTTCGAAATTCCAGATGTCGCCAACAATGCGAACAAGATCACCGTGATAGCAATGTTATTGCATTTAGTGTTATTTTTTCTATTTCCGCCTCTCTATTCCACGCAATGTTGCTGTTGCAGAATAAGTAAGTAGCCATCTTAACGATTTTTTGTTTCGTTGTAAAATTATGTTTCCTCAAATAGTTATTAGAAAATTATTTACATAGCGTGACAATCTCTAACAACTTCAGCGAACAGCTTGTAACCTCTCCTTGTATGCACAATTGAATTGTGGTTTTGGCTTATAATGATTTTTACACACTATTTGATTTCGAATTACAAGAGGGGTAGCATTCATTTTCACCCAGTGGTACCTTCAGTACATTGATTTCTGGTGTAGAAAAAACCCGAGATTTATTCCCATTCTAAGTTTGTAGAGAACTGTGCGATCTGCTTTAAACTGTGCTTTCTGCATGCGTTGTGCACAAACTACAAATAACGGGCAAATTTGTGGGAGTCTGCAATGCCAATAATTAAAGAAAAAAGTTTTTTGACATTAAGATTAGATATTACGATTTGCCGAAGCAAAAGAAATGTTTCTCTCAGGACTTGTTAAGGTACTGGTTGCAAGTTTTTTTTGCGTAGATGAAGTTGCAAGGTTTCAACTATTCAGAAAGTTTACAAGAAATTTTAATAAAGCATACAGATACAGCATACAGCATAAAGGAATACAACATACAGATACATGATGCATACAGAATACTGATGAGCTTATGAAACGAAATAGAACGGAACTTCTTGAGACTCAGAAATCAAGCTCTAAAATTCCGAAAACAAGTAGTTCAGAACACTTTTCGGTAATGAGCAGGGTCAAGCAAGGGGTGTGGCACACGATTGCTGGTTACGCCCCCCCCCTGCTGTCTTAATAAGACCCACCCCCTGAACTATATACCTAAGATAGCATTACCAGAGTTGAGAAAGAGGTCAGGCACAAGTCTTTCGAACCCCCCCCCCCCTCCCATGAAAGCCCTCAAACGATCCCCCCCCTTCTTCCCCCTCTTAACCTCTGGACCTCAAAGTGTGACATTCTGGAGGACACCATCTTTTTCTAGAGTTTTCAGTTTTCTGAGAGCTGTACGCCCGATTTTCTGTGACTGCACTTTACAATCACACGTAATTTGACGGCTGATTTTGATCTGAATGGGCATATTGAAAGGGCCATAATTTTCTCATGGGTGGGGCATTCGGCTCCAAATTTCCAATGTAGCAAGAAGAAGCTATGTGCTCAGTACTCATACCAGCAATGGAGTGCTTTCTGGATTTTGAAGGCTTTTAAGGGGGTGTGCCGCACCCCATTAACTATATCAAAAAAACATTTTTAGCGGACAGTATTTAAATGAATCGATAGCTAAACCTTGTAGATTCCATAGGACTGTTTGGAGCCTGATTTTTCTTCTTAGCTCTGAGTGATATTTGGTGAAAGCACAGCGATCAAAAGCGAAAAATGGGAAAACGAGATTTTGGTTGGCTTCTAATTCCACAGTCTGCAGGTCTTCTGAAGCGGGATTCTTGAGGTGGACAAAGAAGGAGTAGTGCTTTGTCTTGAGTGCAAAAACGGATAGCTAATTCACCTTTGAAACAAAATTAGCCATGTTGGAATTTGACCATTTCATTTAGGTAGCCTAGTATCTTGAATCTTCAGAATTCGCTCACACTTTGTCTACAGGGGTTAATTGACATGCTAATTATGGATATGATACGAATATCATGTTATTACCATTATCAGATTACCCAACTACGACGCCCTCCCCTTTTGACTCCTCAATACGACCCCCCGCCCCCCGGTGTGGCGTGCCGCACCCCACACTTGACCCTGGTAATGAATTGCAAAGTGGACCGATATCATAAATAAAGGATAATCAAAAATACCTTGTTTTAGAAGTTCGATTACGGGTTTAAAAATATGCCAATGACAATAACATTCAATGAACACTGCGATATTTCTAGCCAGTACATCAGCACCAGTATATCCGGTACCAGTACCAGTACCAGTACCAGTATATCCGCCGATGGGTGGCGGAATGATGGGAGGCGGAATGATGGGGAGCGGATTTGGCTTGGGAGGATTTCCTGTAAGTAACCAACAATAATTAATATCCTATTGTTATTACCATTGTTATTATTACCTATGCTGAATTTGCGAGCATTGATAGACTAGAAGCAAAGCTTATTGAAAAAATTTCCAGCATTAAAATGCAGTCAAATGAATATAATCTGCACACTGTAACAGTAGATTTTCACCAGTCCGCTTGGTGGGAGGCCAATGGGTGGGGGGGGGGAGTTTTTTTGCGAATGAAGGCGGTACTTAGGCCCCCCCCAGAGTGCCGAAACCACGCCAGCGCTGCGCCGGCGCCGAGCTGTTCCATTTGTTCGGGGCGGGGCTAGCGACTATGTGCGGGCAAGGGCTACCGGAGCTTCTGGCACACATTCGATCAATAGTCGGTGCATCTACCTGGCTGAGAACTAGGTCAGTTAGCCCCGCCCCAACGAAAAGCACGTGTATCGATCGAAACAGCGCCGGGGCAGCTCGGCGCTGGATCGGCGCCGGCGCAGCGCTGGCGTGGCTTCCGCACTCTGGCGGGAGCCTTAGCGTTAACCATGTACTCTAAGGAATTCATTGGCGCTTCTTGAATTCTTTGGAGGTATATAACTCGAGGCGATAACCACTCCCCAAAAAAAATTCTACAAAACTAACTTGAAATTTTTAGAAATAATAATTATCTTAAGTTCTCTCAAGTTTAAACTAAAGTCACTAAACTTTTGAACTAGTCACTCGCACTAACTATGACTTTTTCAACTATGTAAGCAACCTATAAACTCTCACGCACTCATAAAAAGAACGCTCTCCTCCCATCCCCCTCCCACGGTCGGTCCGTCACTTCTTCGCAGCACCATACTCGACATACACGTAAACACAAGTCACTTGCACAATTTTATAGTTCATGCAGGCTTTTCAAATTTTCCCGGCCACTTTCGAAGGGAGGGGCAGGGGCTTAACCTTGGTCCAAGGGCATTGTCAGTAATCACTTTTATCACGAATTTCAGGACTACGGTCCACTGTTGTATGGAACTGGTTCACCTTGGGCAGCAGGAGGAGGGCTCATCGGCAATGGGCTAGCATTCCTCTTTGGTTGATTGGAGGTTATTAGCTTTTTTACGAAAGAAAAGTAAACGTCAAATTCAAGTATGCTCTTTCTGTGTAAACATTGCCACTACGACTGCTATGACTACTTCCAACCAACTCCATCGAAGATTAAAAGTAAAATCTCACTTTATACTCTGTAGTATTTTCTTGCTTGGCATTTCTCCCGCAGGTTGCTTTTCGTAATACACACACATTCTATTCACCTTTCAGACTACGGTGGCCCTTTGTGAATATGTAGCCATCCTTCAGTTGAATGCTAATTAAATGACTTCGGAAAAACTCATTAACATTGCTTGACGAGATATCAACATCTGGACAGTTATCTCATGCAAATAAGCTGACTAGGCGTTTACTTCTTCGCGTTTATCAGAGGCTATCACAATTTTAAGAGCGTGCAATTCACCATTCGCAAGTAGTATAATGTAACAGTTTTGCGACTTTGTCAGTGATTGGGATTGCAATCTTGGATGGATCGAATTCTGAGCTAAGTTAACGCACACACGTATTATTCACGACAGGGATCGGTCATACCTTGTCGCCGCGCGATTTCCAATTGCTACGATTGTTCATAATCTTTTGTATGCGCACTTCAGCCAAGATTTGGCATGTTCGCGTAAGCTCACGAAAGCTATGCGCCTCCATACTCAATTCCACCCACGGTAGATTTTTAAGGTGATCAAGATTGCAGTACTTAGTTGGATCGGGTACTGAGCTAACTTTACGCAGACCGGGAAGGTGGGGAGGGAACAAAGGATTTAAATGAGGAGAATAAGTCGCATGCTCAATAATTCTGCGACTAAGGGAGCGACGTTCTCAGTGATGAAAAGGCAGCCGAGTTTGCCCGCGGCTTTTTCATAACGGGAACGCCGCTTCCCTCTCGACGGGAATGTTCATACATACGGGCCCAAGTGTGATAAACGTATAGTATACGTAGTTTTTGCTTCGATTTTGAGATGTTATCGAACACTCTTTTTGTAGTAAGGCTCTTCCCCCTTCACACTTTCGAAAAGGCATTATTTTGATGAAACACGCGTAAACACATTTTATCACAATTCTCAGGAATTTATTACTATCTCGATACGTTATGATTTCACCATTTATCACCCTCAGTATTTACTTCATGGGTCGCAGGAGCAAGATTAAGCAGCTAAAACGATTAAATTTGTGTAGTCATTTTTTGCCTTAAAAAGGAAAATGTTGCAAGCACTAAGAGGAACATGGGTCGATTTTTTAAAAGTAACATTGATCATTAGCGGGACAAGTTTCTCTCCTCAATTCCTGCTTGCGGCAATTTGTGTTCATTGAAACAATGTTTCTTAGTCGAAGAGTTGGATGTATTCTTGATTTTTGGATACATTTGTTAGGTGCCAAAAAGGAAATGGTCAGAAATCGTAGTAGCTGTTTCTGACAAGCACAGATGCACAGCAACAAGCAAGCACGGATGCAGCATAAGACACTGAAGCTGGCGTTTTTTTTTACCAAACTCAAAGCTCAACGTTCATCCTAATGCTTGATTTTGCTCCTTTTTCTATCTCAACCTCATATAAAGAAAGTCATTCAGGCTCTGGAATAAAGTAGATGGGTGACATTCGTTGCTCCACACATGGTATCTCCGCACCTTATAACTTTAAATTTTTTGTACATAGCTCTAAACGCATGTTTTTTTCTGGATGAGTTTGAAGAGTGTACCTTATTGCTTTTACCGTTAAGATAATCTAGCAGAGGAAAGAAAAAACGCGTGAGTTAGAACTAACAAGGGAGGTGTTTTCGGTCGAAGTGGCCTTTTCACATGAGTTTGACATGGCTATAAAGAGCATCAACCGCTGATTCCAAATCTGTCTTCGTTATCTACCGAGCGCCTCTAGACATCGAGTTATGAATATTTTGGTGCTAAAAATGAACGCATAATCTAAGTAACATAAAATTTTACGGTCTTCTCAGCGCTCAAGTAGAGCAGTGTTAAGTTGAGTGCTTCAGATAGAAGGTCTTGTTCAAATAAAGTGCTTTGGTTATCAACATTGGACCATTTGAGCAAATCTGACGAATATTATCCTATTTATGCATTTAATTTCTCAACTCAAAAAACGCTCATAACCAGAGTCAAGCGTGGGGTGCGGCACGCCACACCTGAGGGGTCGTATTGAGGAGTCAAAAGGGGAGGGGGTCGTAGTTGGGTAATCTGATAATAGTGATAACATGATATTCGTATCATATCCATAATTAGCATATCAATTAACCCCTGTAGACAAAGTGTGAGCGAATTCTGAAGATTCAAGATACTAGGCTACCTAAATGAAATTGTCAAATTCCAGCATGGTTAACTTTGTTTCAAAGGTGAATTAGCTATCCGTTTTTGCACTCAAGACAAAGCTACTCCTTCTTTGTCCATCTCAGAAATTCCACTTCAGAAGACCTGCAAACTGTGGAGTTAGAAGCCAACCAAAATCTCGTTTTTCCCATTTTTCGCTTTGATCGCTGTGCTTTCACCAAATATTACTTAAAGCTAAGAAGAAAAATCAGGCTCCAAACAGTCCTATGGAATCTACAAGGTTTAGGCTATCGATTCATATAAATAGTGTCCGCTAAAAATGTTTTTTTTGATATAGTTAATGGGGTGCGGCACACCCCTTAACTTGCCTTCAAATCCAGAAAGCGCTCCATTGCTGTAGAGTATTGAGCACATAGCTTCTTCTTGCTACATTGGAAATTTGGAGCCGAACGCCCCACCCATAAGGAAATCCTGGCCCTTTCAATATGCCCATTTAGATCAAAATCAGCCGTCAAATTACGCGTGATTGTAAACTGCAGTCACAGAAAATCGGGCGTACAGCTCCCAGAAATCTGAAAACTCTCTAGAAAAAGATGGTGTCCTTCAGAATGTCACACTTTGAGGTCCGCAGGTTAAGAGGAGGAAGAAGGGGTCGTTTGAGGGCTTTCATGGGGGGGGGGTTCGAAAGACTTGTGCCTGACCTCTTTCTCAACTCTGGTAATGCTATCTTAGGTATATAGTTCAGAGAGGGGGGAGGTCTTATTAAGACAGCAATCAGGGGGGGGTCGTAACCAGCGATCGTGTGCCACACCCCTTGCTTGACCCTGCTCACAACTCGACGTCTAGAGGCGCTCGGCAGATAATGAAAACGGATTTGGAATCAGCGTTTGATGCTCTTTATAGTCGTACCAATTTCATGTGAAAAGGACACTTCGATCGAAAACACCTCCCTTGTAAGTAAGCTTCTTTCGATTTGCCAATGTTTGCTGAAAGTTTCAGATTTGTTTTTGTCAACCTCTAGGTACCATTTTGTTGAAGCTTTAGCCTAGTGCGCTGTGAATCGAGTCACTGATGATCGCTTTTATTACTGTAGAACTATAAACTTTCAGACACAATCCCATTGTGGGACAGGGCGTTCAAAGGGATTTCCAAATCTGCCATGTTTAGGCAAAAAACAATCCGTCGTGATTTGATAGCCTTTATTGTGTGATTTCCCATTCTACAAACCAAACAATATGTGTAAAATTTGAACGGGCGTTCAACGCTCCGCTATGACCAGGTGAGATCCTGAGATCCATGGATCGATCTCTGTCTATAGTCCAATTATGCCTTCTACGTTAGAGAGTCGCGAAATACGAGAGCAATTCGCAAGGATCAAAACGCTGACTTTTATTAACCAAAGGACGCATATTACTGCAAATGTTCGCACTCTTTCAGAATCTTCGACTTTATTAGAGTGCGTAGGACGAATGACTACAAAGGATATTGAAGAGACAGAATTTTCAGTTTTTTACTCTCTACGTGAAAGTTCAATTCTATGCAATGTCCTTTATTCAAAAAAGTAAATAAAGTTACAAAATTTATTTCAGTGTTTCAGTCGGCAGTGCACTGAAACGATTTTTCGATCCACAAGTCGGGAAAGATTGCAGAAGCTTGTGTGGATTAAAATGCACCATGATCCCTCATCATTCCAAGACCTAAGAGGCCAAAAGCGCCAGCAGCTGTAAGAACTGAAAGAAAACTTAGAAATTCGCATTGTTGAATGCGTACTGTTTGCGAACATGGTAACAGCGGTAACAGCTTGGCTTCCATATCAGCAGGGGTAAGTTTGCGTACGGACTCCACAGCAGTGATATTCTCTCCTTTATGATCCACCGAAGACGCTTGACCAAGAAAAAGAATTACCAGTGCCATATGTCGAAGCATTTCTAAATGAAAGATTCAGTAAACTGTACCAAAACGCATCGCTGACATCCGAAGTTGTCAGAATGTATAAGCAAATTAAAGTGCTTGTTGTATCGAATTATTCTCTTACTCACTCTTCTGCGATGTTTCGAGTTCACTCAGGCTTTAGAAAAAACAAGAGTTTAGGTTGATGCGAAAGCAGTAAGCGTTCCTTATGCGACAGCCGCGGTGCTGCCGCCAAAACGCATGAAGTATACTCAGGGGTCAGGCGCGGGGTGACACGCCACACGTAGGAGTCATATTGAAAAGTCAAACTGGGAAAGAGGTCGTGATCAAGGGATTATCCATAACAAGATTTGTTAACAATGTCAGTTAAGCACAATATGCAAAACACAAGCACAATGAGATATTCACCTAGCATCGCATAAGTAAGCAGTAGAAGGAAGCCTTAGCAAATTTACCGAGTATTTTCGTACTGGAATGTCAAATAATCTTTGTGACTAAATTTTAGCGAACTCTGAGGTTTTCAAATACTGAGCCACCCAAGTAAAATGCTTTTCCAGACATGAATAACTTTCTTTCAAAGATGAGTTAGATATTCATTTTGCACTCAATGTCAAGCACCGCTCATTTGCCCACATGGAAATCCCAGTCAAACAAAAGAGAATTATGGAATTGTAGACTGCTGATCTCGTTAATTCAACTTTCGCTTACAATGGTTCTTTTGCAACTATTTATTACTCACGATAAAGAAGGCGAATTTGACTGAAATCACTGTTATAAAACCTAAGAGATTCGAATCATCGACGGAAAAACAACTATGTTTCTTCCTTACAGTGACGATTTCGAGATGTCTGTTGTGAAAAGAAAAAGCTTTAGCGGTTTTGTTTGCATAAAACCTAAATGAATGAACGCTTTGAGGGTAAACTGATGGAGTGTGGCGCCCCCAAGAAGAGCGCGGCAGCCACAGTAACTTTCCTTCGCAAAACTTTTGATAAAAAGTAGATGTGCGATAACCTAAGTTTCTTGCTTTCACAGACGTGATGCAAACCTGATACGCCTTCTTTAGTTTGTAGGTCAATTAAAGTGTGAAATTCAGCGAGCACTATTAAGAATGGAAGCAGAAAGTGGTCAAACTCAGCTTCAAAACTGTTGTGTCCTCCGACTCGGACTTCTGTTGGAGGCACAGGAGCAGAAAGGAATATTTGTTAGCGAATAATAGAACAGTAAGAATATGAGAGACAAAGTGAACACTGAACTGACTAAGGCTATGAGTGAGCGCCTGTTATGGCGCTCATTTCCCGCGCACTCTGAGGTTACGATAGAATACGCGAGGCAGATCACTATGAGGAACAACTGATCAGTTACAACACAACAAAAACAAAGTTAATTACATTTGAATGACAATGTCTGCAAGGTAACGCAATATTCAGAAACTTCAAAAGTCGCTGAAATTTGGTCTACGGAGGTTATTTTACGTGCTAATAAAAAAAATGTTATACATTGTGCTTGATGCACGCCTCCTTCCAATGCTTACGACAGAAAAATGGTATTTCAAAGGGCTTTCGGTAGGACCAACTCAACTGGGGAGGGGAGGCTTCGGTGGTCGTGTGCCACACCTCTTGTTCGACCGTATACTATTTGAAAACGCAGAGCAAGTTCTGCAAGAAAACCTCCAAATTTTTTTGATATATTAATTCCACTGGCTAGAAGAATTCAAAAGTATTCAATTACTCAAAAATAAAATGCTCGGCAAAATCAATCCTGCTTCTTCAAGTTCCCAATGGTCATCATATAGAAGACACACAGTAAAATACATATGCAGAGCTGTGATTTTTCGAGGTTAGAAGTCAATCAACAAAAATAGGAAAATGTGAAGATATCACCTTTTCGAGTTGTTTGTCTAATTGTGATTTGTCGACCATAAAGTACAAAGATCATATTTTCTGTTCTAGTCCCATAGGTTTGTAAAAATGCAATTGTATATGTGAAAGCAGTGCGCGATTGTTTGACAATCTTCAGCCATTATATTTTGCTCAATTTAAGCATTGCAGATCATCCAAATTCAACACACTCATTGTTTTCTCTAACAAGGGAGGTTCACTTATTCGAAGTGGCAATTCGGAAGGCGATCTACACCAGTAGATAGAGCTTAAAAAGCTGATCTCAGATATGCCTTCTATATCTGCGATGCATTGTTCTGAAGAAAGTTATGAGCTTTCCTAAAGACAGATTTTCGTGCATTTTGAGTGGTAAAATCAACATAATCTCTACACAAAAGTGTGCAAGTTTAAGCAAACCACCTAGTAAGCATTGTAGGCCTAATTCGAGTTCATCCGAACGATTTGCGAATGTTTTCCGACCATGTTGTTTATTCACAGGTAGTCATTTCTTTCCTAGATCACACTTCTATTGTATGTAAAAAATGCCACAACCTCCATCTAGAAAAACGCGTCCGGAAACTTTTTGGAAACTACCAATGGATAGAACGTACGATGTCTCAAATATATCTTCAATATCTGACGACGCGGTTTTTAAAATGAAGGTTATGGGCTTTTTTGTATATATAATGGAAGTGTGATCTAGGACGGAAATGACAACCTGTGGATAAACAACATGGTCGGAAAACGCTTGAAAACGTTCGAATGAACTCAAATTATAACTACAATGCTTACTAGGAGGTTCGCTTGAGCTTGCACAATTTCGTGTAGAGATTATCATGATTTTCCGGCTCAAAATGCACGAAAATCTGGCTTTAGAAAAGCTCATAACTTTCTTCAGAACAATGCATCGCAGATATAGAAGGCATATCTGAGATCAGCTTTTTAAGCTCTATCTACTGCTGTAGATCACCTTCCGAATTGCCACTTCGAATAAGTGAACCTCCCTTGTAAGAGCATTGAAACTCTCTCAGTACGCATGAGTTCACTACCACTCAAATAACGACATTTCTAAACGAATGCCTTAGCCGCAACATATTCCGTTGGTCAGGCCAGTATTAAAGGCAAATCAGGGGTTTAGCCATGGGGCAAAGGTTAGCCCCTACTGTAGCTATCGCTTTTATGTCTAAAGTCGAAGCTCCAATACTGGCTCGCAAGCCACTGTTATACCGTCGCTATATAGATGACTGTTGCATCGTGTGCCCCACGCAAGACGAGATGGACATATGCTTCAATCTTCAAGAGAGCCAATCCCCCACATTAAATTCACTCAGGGAAAAACCCAGCGAAAGTTGGCTTGCCTTTCTGAATGTTCAGATACATCTATTGGGTGGCTCGTAGAAAACAAAATGGTATCGGAAGCCAAGCAATAAGAACATCTTAATCCAATATCGCTCTGCTCACCCTTGGAGCACAAAGCGGTCGGTGGTAGGTAACATGTTTAGATCAGCCAAAGCAGTCTCATCGGATGCGTGCGCATGCGTTTCATCAATAAATATAGCCAAGCAGATCGCGCAGTCTAACGGTTATTTGATAACGGTTAGTCTGTCAAAGTACTCCTGTCATCCAGAACGCAGACCGCGCACAGTCGAGCAACCACCACCTTTCATTTCAGAAAAGTTAGGCAGGGCTTTCGAAAAAATTTACAGCACGCGGGCCTTGAAACTTACGTCAGGGTCATAGACATACCGCTCCCTAGCTTTAGGCAACAATTTACGCAATCGCGTATACGATCGCATATGCACAAGTCCAGGTTGCGTGATCTGTCCAAGCAGGAAGCCAGGTGATTGCATGGAGTTAGGGGTGGTCTACATAATCACGTGCTTATCATGAGGGGACCGGTACAGGCGAAACGGGCAGACCTTTGTGCGTAAGGATCAAGGAGCACCTGGACGCCTCGAAAAAGGAAACATCTAATCCGCTAGGCGCCCTTCGCAGGCAATGCCATGGTAATCGCTCCATCGAAACAACGTCACGATGCTATGGCGAGAACCCGAGGTTATAGCGCGAAAAACCTTATTCTGGATATCCAAGAACCCTAAAATGAATCGCAAGGAGGAATGCATCGCCGGTGACCAATGAGTTAGTTCTGTATCAAACCTCTTTGGGTTTTGATCTGCGAGGTCGAGGTCGGATGTTATAAGAGAGGCTCACTAATGAGGGCATATACAGTCTGTGGTACTTGCTCTGTTCACCGCTAAGGCTATTGAGGTGGGCGCTAGCTTGGTTCTGACCCTCTGGTATCCTAGTAGTGTTTAGCATGATGTGGAGTGATATCCTGTGGCTGATTAGGCGCTTGAGCGGATAAGTCGCAATCTTTCTAACCTTTCCAGGCTCTGAAGAAGTCGACGACGCCGAAACGTAAGCCTGAATAAAGAATTTAACAATCTTGGCGCAAGGCTATACAATCAATTCGAAAGTTACACGCAATGCCGAGGTTCAGTGACAATCGGACCTGGAATATCATAAGATTTTCTCAGCGAGTTAAACCCCCTAACTATCTTAGGATGGAATGTCTCTCAGCATCTTGACCGCCACGATTCTTGCTTACCTGGTCATTCGATGCGCTGATCCCGAAAATGCACCTTGCAAGGAGTAAAAATATCGGAAACTAGCATTTTCATAAATTCCCCATATTCAATGTGAACTGGTGCAGAAGCAGCCGCCAAGGTTTGAAACGCAGAATTGTTGCAGGACCCTTACGAGTCTCGTGTCACATGCATCTCCAGCGGTTAGAGGAGTAAAAATCGAGAACTTGTACGAGTGCCACAAAGACGGCTTGCACTCACGGGTTTGAGGGCAATTAGGGAGTGTGCTTTGCGATCGATTACGTTCTATTTTTATATTTGGAGGGGAGGGGAGGGCGCACCGCGTTGAAATTTAAGACAAGTTTTCTCCACGGCCTTTGATTTACTCGCTTCAGAAAAATTATCCTTTTTTTGCAAAGTTCAACATTCAGCAAAATTGTAGACTAATCTCAATGTTGATGTTCGAGTGTAATGTACTTGGAAAGAACAGAATAGATAGCATATGTAATAATTCTTAAAAATTGTAAAATATGATAAAATGATGTTGGTTCTATGCA